GCTACTCCCCAGCAGATATCAGGTGGTACAATACCAGCTAAACAGTATAATTTCTCCAGTGGTGTAGGGCGTAGACATCGTGTGATAATGCGGCATGTCTCATTAAGAACCACATCCACTATTTTAATGTAGTTAGATGTTTTCCACACTGAGCATGCATATTCAGCAGCAGAGTAGCAAAGCACAAGGGCTGATGTCTTCACTGTGTCTGGTTGTGATCCCGAGGTTGTGCCAGTCAGCTTTTGTATGATGTTCTTTCTAGCAACCACTTTTTGCTTGATATTCAGGCAGTGCTTCTTGTAGGTCAGAGGATGGTCCAGAGTGATTCCCAGGTGTTTGGGTGTGCTTCAGTGCCCCAATGGGAAGTGACCAGAAGCGACTTGGCAACAATTGCAGTAAGCTGAGATCAGAGGAGAAAAGTGGGAAGAAGAGAGGGAAACTGTGACATTTTAATAGCAATTGAAAAAATGGGATGGCTGATGACTTTCTCTGTGAAATCTGAACATATGGATGATATGAATATTGATGTTTTTCACTGAATCAACATGAATGGCATGAATAACAAAGTGCCTTCTAAGCCATAGTAGAGGCTAAGATGGGTCTCTTTGGGCATGGACCTCTGTGTAGCCTCAGATGTAGTTGAATATGATGCAGAGGCAAGAGGAGAAAGGAAAGGACACTTTTTTCTCCTGGCTTAGTCTGCAAAATTGACCTGAGTTGCTTTGAGTGATTGAGGAATCCGCATATGCCCTAAATTGGACATGTTTCCATTGTGTATAATCTGAGCCCTGAGTCATCAAAGGGCAAGTTGACAAGCCGTGTCAGATGAAACTGGATTGCGCCACAGTGCTTTGACTCTGGAGTGGAGAAGGAAGTGAATCTAAGTGAACGATGGAAGACAGCTGGCCTGGATGGGAGCAAAAGCAGCTTCCTGGATAGGTTCAGCGAGTTCCTCTGTTGTTGTCTAACTCAAAGGTGGGGATCGCTTCTTTGTTTAAACCAGTGTTTCTCAACCTTCCTAGTGCCGAGACCCCTTAATACAGTTCTTCATGTTGTGATGACCCCCAACCATAAAATTATTTTTGTTGCTACTTCATAACTAATTTTGCTACTGTTACAAATCATAATGTAAATATCTGATGTTCAGGATGTATTTTCATTCACTGGACCAAACTTGGCATAAATACCTGATATGCCCAAATTTGAATACTGGTGGGGTTGTGGGGGATTGATTTTGTCATTTGGTAGTTATAATTGCTGGGATTTCTAGTTCACCAACAATCAAAGAGCATTCTAAACTCCACCAACGATGGAATGGAACCAAACTTGGCACACAGAATTCCCATGTCAAACAGAAAATCCTGGAAGAGTTTGATGGGCATTCAACTTGAGTTTTAGAGTTGTAGTTCACCTACATCCAGAAAGCACTGTGGACTCAAACAAAGCATGATGGATCTGGACCAAGCTTGACATGAATACTCAATATGCCCAAATGTGAACACTGGTGATGTTCAGGGAAAAGAGAACTTGACATTTGGAAATTGTAGTTGCTGGGATTTATAGTTCACCTACAACTAAAGAGCACTGTGAACCCCACCAACAATAAAATTGGGCCAGACTTCCCACACAAAACCCCCATGACCAAGAGCAAATACTGTGTTTTCTGATGGTCTTTGGCAATCCCTCTGACACCCCCTCACAACTCCCCCAGGGGTCCTGATCTCCAGGTTGAGAAATGCTAGTTTAAACAATGTTTTAGGAACATTGAAAATGTGCTGTGGCTTAGGAGTCCCCTTGGGAATATAGGACGGGTTACAAATAAGTTTGTTGTTGTTGTTATTAGGAAGACAACAAGGAGAATTGCATGTGTATTGTGGTTGTTTCCTGTCTCAAGACTTCTAGGACTACATAGACGTTATTGAGGGTTTCCTCAGCATTGAGAAAACACACTTTCCAGTGTTGACCTTGATGTCTAGATCATCTGCAGCCCTTTGGCTTGGTATCCTCAGTCCTCTGAAGACAACCCTTGGGAAGCCATTGTCTATTCCATCCTTGAAGACTTACAAGGCATCCAGAAGTTGTTTGTTCCCAGGATGGTAAAATACTTAAGTACTTAGTGTGTCAGGTCTTAAGCGTTTTACCATGCTTGAAACAAATATCCTCTGAATGTCTTCTTAATGGGACATTCCACATGGATAAAGTGAGCTAAGCCATTAAGAAATGAAACCTGATCCCATAAGATGTTCTACAAGTTCAGCAGCAAAAAGATTTCTACTGGTGTCTTTGTGCTAAAGCCTTTCTGCCCCAGAAAAGCTTTACTCAGTTGATAGTGTGTTAAAAGGGAGGTTTTACCTTTGCCATATGTGTATATGTGCCCTCAAGTCACCTGTCAACTTATGATGGCGTCATGCGTTTTTAAAGGGTTTGGAAAGTTATGGAAGGATCAGTATGGATAGCGGGTTTCAAAAAACCACGGTCGTCCATTTGGGTGTTCCCTATAAAGACAGGGCTGAAAGTAGATGAAGAAGTTTAATTGGAAGACATTATGGAACAAGTAGGGCTTGTTTTGGAGGAAAAAAATAATAATTTGGAGGCCAAAATGGTCTATAACTATTGACAGCAGATTTAAGGTGATCACAGCCAGATACAATGAAGACATCTGCCCTTGTGCTTTGCTACTCTGTTGCTGAGTACTTATGTCCAATGTGGAATACATCTCAACACGTGAAAACAGTGGATGTCTCTCTTAATGAAACATGCCACATTATCATAGGATGTCTGTGCCCTACATCACTGGAGAAACTATACTGTTTAGCCAGTATTGCACCACCTGACATCCACTGGGAAGTAGCAGCCAATACTGAAAGGACCAAGGTAGTGACATCTCCAGTCCATTCCCTGTTTGGATATCACTCAGCACCCCAACATCTTAAATCAAGAAATATATTTCTAAGATCTACAGAGATACTTGCAGGAACTCCTCAGCAAGCGAGAGTCCAAAAGTGGCAGGCTAAAATCTGGAACCTCAAGTCATGGCTGATACCAAATGAAAGACTCCCTCCTGGGCACACAGAAAACTGGGCGACTTGGAAGGCACTGAATAGACTGCGCTCTGGCACCACGAGATGTAGAGCCAACCTTAAGAAATGGGGTCACAAAGTGGAGTCCACAACATGTGAGTGTGGAGAAGAACAAACCACAGACCACCTGCTGCAATGCAACCTGAGCCCTGCCACATGCACAATGGAGGACCTTTTTATAGCAACACCAGAGGCACTCCAAGTGGCCAGATACTGGTCAAAGGACATTTAATATAAGGCCAGATTTTTTAACTATGTGTTTTTAAATATATCACAACTGTACCCTTGGTTTGCTCTTGATACGATAAATAAATAGTGGACTATTAGTCAGAGCTTGTTATTTGTTTGACTGCAATATAATAATAATAATAATAATAATAATAATAATAATAATAATAATAATAATAATCTTTATTTATACTCCGCCACCATCTCCCCAATGGGGACTCAGAGCAGCTTACATGGGGCCAAGCCCGAACAACAACTTCAATATAGAAATAAAAATTGCAGTAAAATAAACAACATAACATTAAAGTGTAAAACATCAAAACATATAAAACAATATACAGAAACCAAACATAATGACAGAGAGTGGGCCGCATGTACGAGGGGTATTTTTTAAAGTAAGGTCCGTTTTGTTGTAGACACTAGTAGTTCGTGCGCATACCACAATGAGCTCGTGCATCGTGTACCGGCATGCCTCGGGAACAACTGTGCTCAGTTTCCGCTCTGTAGCTAACCTGTACAGTTCTGTTCTGTGCTTTAAAAATGTTTAAGACTATCAACTCACCCTCCGCATGTGAGGTTCGCTCAGTGATACGGTTTTTGTCAGCAAGGAACCTGCCTGCTGCAGAAATTCATCGACAGATTTGTGAAGTGTACGGTGAAACTGTTATGAGTGAAAGCAAAGTGTGTAAGTGGGTACGACAATTCAAAGATGGCCGTGACAACGTCCATGATGAGGACCGCTGCGGTCGCCATTCTTTGATTACAGACGATTTGGTTATCGGAGCAGACGGCAAGTTTTTATGAAGAGGGTATTTTGAAATTGGTTCAGAGGTATGATAAGTGTTTGAACAAACTTGGCAAATATGCCGAAAAATAGAGTGAAGTATGTACTTCCTGAAAATAAATTTACTTTTTGGAAATAAACTTTTGTTGTGTACTTATGTTCCAATGGACCTTACTTAAAAAACACCCCTTGTACATAAAATGATGCCCATATTCCCCTAGGCAGCAAGGGCCAAAACATGAGGGAATCCCAGGAGTCTGTTAAAAATACGACATTCTCCAAGCTTGTCTAACAGTTCCACCTTGTAGAGTGATTTTTCTTCATCCAGAGTGGTATAGACATAAGGTGATCTATAGTGATACCTGGGCGAGTGTCCCAGGCAAGGAAGAATAGGATTCCTAACCCCAGAAAACTGCTGGCTCTATTGAGTGAGCCCATGTCGCCTTGGAGTTCTTGATTCCACAAGCATAACCCACAAGGTGTGGCCTAGTTTAAGATGATCTGTTCTGCAGGTGCCTCATTGGGGTTGGGCGGGGATAGTTGAAAAGGCAAATCTCCTGAAACTCTTCGAAAGCAAGTGAGCAATATTTGTGTTTCTTTGCAATGTCTGTTCTGACTCTTCTATTCAGTTTCAGTGTCCTATGGTCACCTCATTCAACCCTGGTTGGGTAGCCTATGTGTACAGCTTCACAGTCCTCATTTGAAGGCATTGTCTTCCATTCATAGTTGGGTTTCTTCGAGTTGAAACTAACAATAGTGGTCAGGTCATGATGTGATTGTTTTACTTTACTGAATGTCCTGTACCTCTCAGGAATGGAGGGTGGGGTGAGAAATGGTACATTTGGAAACGAGCAATTTACAAACGGTCCATGGGTCTGCAACTTCATTCTGTGTTTGTCTTACTCCAGGACATGAATGGCCTCGAAGAAGGAGTGGTGTTCCTCCCCACCATGAATACCAAGGAAGTAGAGAAGCCATGTGGTCCAAAACGTTGGGTCTTCGTGGTTGCCATCCTGTCCATCAGCCTTCTCCTATCTCTGTTGGTTGGGTTCCTGGTCTGGCACTTCAAATGTAAGTGGTGGTAGGTTAGGTCTGGCTTGAACACTTCTTTAAAAAGTGCCATAGGTCTTGAATTGCTCAATGTTACCTCTGATCACCTGATGAACCTGTGAATGGATGTCAGGTTGATGAAATCAGATTGAGATCTGCATATGATGAAAACCTTTGGTGCTGGTCATGGACTGTAATAATAATAAATAAATAAATGATGAAAACCATCATAAAAATTCCTGTTGGAGAGTTCACTACAATTGTATAAACAATGTTCATTGTCCAAAGGAAAGATCTTTTCGTATTCCTTTTCCTATTCTTTATTGTTGTATTCAGGGTTGTAGCTGTAGGGGAATGAAATGAGAACATTTTCCCCCAGTAAGAATTTTTCCCCAGTCCCTACATTTCTAAAACTGCGGTCATTTAAAATGCCATTGAAGCATCTAGAAATACGGTTTGGGCATCTAGAGAAAGGGGCAGGTAGTGACCAAGGGAGTGCCACTCTGCACCCCACTGTTGGGGAAAAGATTTATTGATTAGTTAGGAGCTCCTGGTGGTACAATGGCTTAAACCCTTGTGCCGGCAGGACTGCTGACCAAAAGGTTGGTGGTTCAAATTCAGGGAGCTGGCTGAACTCCTGTTTGTCAACTCCAGCTTTTCATACAGGGACATGAGAGAAGCCTCCCACAGGATGGTAAAACATCTGGGCATCCCCTGGGCAACGTCCTTTAAGACATTTCTCTCACACCAGAAGCGACTTGTAGTTTCTCAAGTTACTCCTAACATGAAAATAATTTGATTAGTTGATTGACTGGGTCCAAATCTGTGAGAAAGGTAATGTACAAACGCCAAATCATTCATTCATATATATTTCTATATAAATAAAAATGTAATGTTCGTTTGTGGGATTAACATAACGCAAAAACCACTGGACGAATTTTAAAAAAAAATATTTTTATTGATATTTTGCTTTGTGAGCGGATTTATACAATTAATACATGTCAATAGATGTCAATAACCACATTTCTCTACACCCTTCCATTATCCTCCACCTCCTTCATTCAATTCCACTGGACAAATTGACACGAAATTTGGACACAATACACCTATCAGGCCAACGGGTGACTATCATTCATAAAAACACTGAAAAACACAGCAGAAGGGACTTTAAAAGCCAAAGAACAAAAAATACATTACAACGCATGTGCAAAACTACATATGTACACAAACGCACATATACACAAATATATACAGAAATATATACATACATATATGCACATACAAAACACATACACAGAATGGGGAAAGGAAGGAAGGAGGGGGAGAAGGAAAGAAAGAACGAAAGAAAGGCAGAGAAGGAAATTAAAAAGTGAAAGAGGGAAGGAAGGAGAGAAGGAATAAAAGAGGGAAAGAGGGAAGGAAGGAAGGAAGGAAGGAAGGAAGGAAGGAAGGAAGGAAGGAAGGAAGGAAGGAAGGAAGGAAGGAGACAAGAAAGGATGGAACCAATGAGCAAAGGAAGCGAGAAAAGAAATAAGTAYAGAAGGAAGAAAGAAGAAGGGAAAGAAAAAGAGGGAAGGAAGAAAGGAGAGAAAGAAGGAAAGAGAGTGAGGGAAGGTTGGCCACAGCAACGTGTGGTGGGTACAGRGTGTGTGTGTGTGTGTGTGTGTGTGTGTGTGTGTGTYTYTATATATATATAATTTTGCTACTGCTTAATCTGGTTGCTTACTTGGGATTTATTCAGGACAACTATCGGTGTAATGAAGAAATGCCTWGGATTTCTCAATGTCATAAAATTTATTTGCACTTCTAGTATATGTAGTTACACTTCCTYGATAGTTGCAAACTAGTCACATACTCAGGCACCCTGTTTCTTGTCATAGATATCTGCAAACAGAGACATTGAYTGAAACCAGTAATATTTCATTAGCTCTGGGTTGTCGGGGAGGACGGTGAATCTATTTTAGGCTTTGAAAGAGCTATCCAAGGTGCTGAACCGATTTTAGTGTCCTTACTGCATGGACATGAAAGCTACTGATGTAGGTTTTTTTACTCACCTGTCACACATCTGTATTTTAGTAGTTGCTCAGTCTCAGTTGATAGTGTCCACAAAAACATAAAATTGTACACAAGGTCAACTGCCCGAGATAGCAGTGTTTGGTAACGCCTCCACTTTGGAAACCTAAGTAGGGCATGGATAGAAAATGTGTGGCCTTCTGATGTTGTAGGGCAACAACTATCTGATTTTCTCAACGTAGACTGTAATTGCTGGAGCTTCTTAGACTTGTAGTACCTTAATTGAGTGGTGCACGATTCCCAAGCTTGGTGTAGACTTCAAGGACAGAAGATGAGACAGATGGTACACAAGTTGTGATACCCGACTGTTAATGCACACTCAAAACATTAGACGTTCTTGGGTTCTAAGTGATAAGACATACAGTATTCTTAGAAGAAGTGGCCAAATGAAGTGATTAGTTGTTGTTACTTCTTGTCGTTTGAAACAGAATGTATTTTGTAATTGGGACCTTCCTCTTTCTCCCAATGGCTTCTTTTAGATAGGAATGCCAATGTCCAGAAGTACTACAATGGGCACCTGCGGATCGTAGGGCAACAGTTTGTGGATGCCTATGAGAATTCCAGCACCCCTGAATTTGCTGCTCTGGCCAGGAAAGTGAAGGGAACGGTAAGCAACCCTGAAATCTCTTGACATCATTTGAGAAGTGCAACTTATTATAGCATAAATCCCTGTGCCTCTCTGACGTGATACATCGGATATTTAGCTTTGAGATAATGACTGCCATAACACTCAGGAAAAATGGGAGGCATTAATCCTTCTCGCCCAGTACAGACAACTCTGACTGGTAAATTGCTTTATCAATTGAATATCCCTGAGAACTTTCAATACAATGATGGGCACGTATAACCCATGGGCTTTATATGGTCCCCAGGGCCCTCCAGCAATCAATTTTTAAATTTCCCGCCATGTCCCCAAATGCTCCTTTTGAAAAGTGGAGACTTTTTCAAACAGTTTTGGGCTTCACTCCATTTTAAGTCTAGGAGAGGCCTTTAAAAAAAAGAAACAGTGAGTACAAAATAGCAAAATAAGGCTTTTTAGGTTTAAAATGGTCTAGAACAGCCTTTCTCAACCTGGGAGTGGGAACCCCTGGGGAAGGTCATGAGGGGGTATCAGAAGGGTCGCCAAAGACCATCAGAAAACACAGTATTTTCTGTTCGTTATGGGAGTTCGGTGTGGGAAATTTGGCCCAATTCTATCATTGGGTTCAGAATGCTCTTTGATTTTAGGTGAACTATAAATCCCTCCAACTACAACTCCTGTCAAAGTCTATTTTCTACAAACTCCACCAGTGTTCATATTTGAGCATATTGAGTATACATGCCAAGTTTGGTCCAGATTCATCATTGTTTGCGTCCACAGTGTTCCTTAGATCTAGGTGAACCGCAACTCCCAGACTCAATATCAATGCCCACCAAACCCTTCCAGTATTTTCTGTTGGTCATGGGAGTTCTGTGTGCCAAGTTTGGTTCAGTCCCATCATTGGTGGAGTTCAGAGTTCTCTTTGATTGTAGTTGAACTATAAACCCAACAACTACAACTCCCAAATGACAAACTCAACCCCCCCAGTATTCAAATTTGGGCATATTACGTATTTGTGCCAAATGTGGTCCAGTGAACAAAAGTACATCCTGCATATCAGACATTTACATTACAATTCATAACAGTAGGAAAATTACAGTTATGAAGTATGTTGGGGGTCACCACAACATGAGGAACTGGATTAAGGGGTTGCGGCATTAGGAAGGTTGAGAAACACTGGTCTAGAAGATCTAAACTGGTCCAAGTCTCTTCACTGGCTCAGCTACAGATTCCAGCTGGAGCATTCCCTTTTCGTCCTTGGCCATGCCCAGCTCAGCTAATGATAAGCAGGCTATTGCACTCTGCTTACCTTGGTATGTTTCCTCCAATCAGGTATTGAATCTAAAGTGATGCTGATTGCGCCCAACCAATCAATTTACAAGCTTCTAGGCTTTGTGGTGTTGCTCTCCCTTTCTTCTCTTTTCCATTACAAATTGCTTCAGATAAGGGCTCCATGCATATTACACATTTATAGTCCTACGTGACACTGTAGCTGTCATGGAAGCATCTCATGGATTCCTGGGATTTGGAGTTTTGGGAGGGAATTTAGGATTCTCATTCAAAATACTTTAGTGTCTTACCAAACGACAAACCCCAGGAATGCATAGGATGGAACCATGGTCATTCAAGTGGAATAATAATGCTATCATTATGCAGTTATAAACAGGTCCATAGTCCTTTAAACTCTTCAGTGACTTCAGTAACTGGAATGTAAAACCCTTCCTCCATATTCTTCTTATTGCTGAGTTGAACTGTTCTCCCAAATGGGATGATGGAAATGGGAATTCCAAGCTGTCCTGGCAACATTTATTCTGTATCCCAAGGACTATCCGGCCCTATGTCAAAAAAGTGGGTAGTCCTAATACGAGAACAAGGAACATTGAACACAAATCATCAGATGAGTCATGAAACAAAAAGAAATACATTGATGCAACCAGAAACTCTGGGTCCATTCTAAGATCCAAATGTGTTAAAATATAATTGTTCTCAAATTTATGTAATTTTGTAAATGTTTTTAGCTCCTAGATATCTATAAAAAAAATCAAGACATTGGCTCTTTCCACAAGGAAACTGAGATAATTGCGTTCAGGTGAGTCATCATTTCTATGGCCATTTTGGGCTTGAAAAAATCCTATTGCTGTACATTTTTCCAAGTGTTTATTTATTTATTTCAAGTATTTATATCCTGCCCTTCTCACCCCCCACCTCCCCGGGGCGTGGGGAGGGGCCATTAGATGCCAACACCAAAACAAACAAGAGCAATATAAGCTCTTGTTAAGCACGAGTTAAACATTACTTAAAACATTAAATTATAAAATATCAATTAAAACATTATTAGCAACAATTCAACCATGTCCAAATCCAATTCAGCATCCAGAGTCCAAGTCTGAGGCCTGTCTGTTGTCAATTCTCATGAGTCATTGTGATTATTACTGTTAAGCCTGCTACCTGAATGCTGGCCCTGGTCCCATAGCCATGACTTGAGCTTTTTTCTAAAGGAGAGAGATGTGGCTGACCTAATTTCCCTGAGAAGTGTGTTCCAAAGATGTGGGGCCACCACCGAGAAGGCCCTCTCTCTTGTCCCCACCAATCACATTTGTGAGGGAGGCAGGATAGAGAGCAGGGCCTCCCTGGACGATCTTAAGCTCAGAGATGGATCATAGAGGGAGATACGTTCAGATAAGTAAGCTGTATAGGGCTTTAGAGGCCAAAGCCAGCACTTTGAATTGTGCTCAGTAGTGGACTGGTAGCCAGTGGAGCTGACATAACAGGGGGCGTTATGCTCCCAGTGTGTTGCTCCGATGCCACTTGTTGGACTAGTTGGAGTTTCTGAACAGTCTTCAAAGACAACCCCATGTAGAGTGCATTGCAGTAATCTATTTGGGATGTAACAAGAGTGTGGGCCACTGTAACCAGATCAGACTTTCCAAGTAGAAGAAGAAAAGGAAAAATGCTAAGGACTTTACCCTTACCTGTGATGTGCATCACAATCCCATCCTTTCTAGAGGAGAGTCTTTCAATTCAAGATGCAGTTGGGTAGAGGTGATAACTGATCAACAACTTGTAATTTGTGAGATGGTTTGATGATTTGGACTTTGGCAATTCCATAGTTCATTTATCATTTCTCTGAGATGGTAGTGTCTGGACACCCAAAAGTTGAAAACCCCTTTTCATTTAGGCATTAGTTCAGGTAAGGAAACAAATAACATAGAAACAAGTGACACCTAGTGAAAGAGCAGAGGATTACAAAGTGCAGTCTTTCCATGAAAGTACGTAAACTACAAACCGCAACACTGACTGACTTGGCTATACAGTATTTAAAATGATTAATAGTTTACTATGTGGTGTGTTGTAAATTTTGTAATTCTCGTGTTATGTGAGCGCTGCACTGACTGCTGAGAACTGCAAAGTAGTAGTTAAATTGAGCGAGAAGTATCTTATGTTTGGGCTGGGGCATTGATGGAAGAATTCCTTTTCAGATTTCAAAGATGACTGTCCATTGGGTGGAATGTAGTACTGATAAATAATAAAGAACCGAATCAAGTTCCACCAAGCCAAACACGGGAAAAGTATAAACGTTGGCTTGCAGTTATGCACCACTTTAAATTCTTTTCTTCAATGTGGATATATAACAAATGTGGACAAGAAGCTTTAGTATAAACACTCTTTAAATGAGACAGTCTAACACGACCGTTGTTAGGCAAAAGAGCCCTCCTGCTATGCTTGAAGCCAATCCTCAAGACAGATAATCAAAGACATCTATTCACAACCCTTCTAGGTTGCACTCTGGATCAAATATGCATCTGTTTTCTCTCTCTCCATTCAGTGAGGGCAGTGTTATTGCTTACTACTGGTCAGACTTCAGTGTTCCTAAATACAAAGTGAATGTCTTTGAAAACGCCATGGCGAACATCGAGGCTCCACCCTACATGGAGATACATAAGGCACGGAACCCAGAGATGCGAATTGAATCGCTTGTTGCCTTCCGTAAGTCCTCTTTCTGCCTCTCTTTCCCACCTGCTATCTTTCCAGCCTTTGCTTTACTTTTGGGCTCGTGAACATGTCACCACCAGGGAAGCCTGGGATACATCTTTTGACTTTAGCAGTGAAAAAATTGGTGGGCTCTTCCTTCTAGCTTGGTCAGTGGTTAAACAAGCTGGAGAATAGAAAGGTCATCCATTTCTAATGTTTGCAAAAGTTATGCCTGAATGGATGGAAAGTTGGAAAATCTCACATTCAAATAAACTCACATTCAAGTGTCCCTAGTAATGGGAAATGCATCATCCTGGATATTGTAACACTATTCTTTGCCATCTCTTATGGTGGTTTGGGCTGGTGAGAGTTGAAACTCCACCAGTCCTCCTGCTCCTCCTCCTCCTCCAACTCTTCTCCTCCCTCTCCCTCTCCCTCTCCACTTCCACTTCCTCCTCCATCTCCTCCTCCTCCTCTTGCATCTCCTCCTCCTCTCCTCCATCTCCATCCCCACTTCCACTTCCTCCTCCATCTCCACCTTCTCCATCACCTCCTACTCCCATCTCCATCTCCTTTTACATCTCCATCTCCTCCTCCTGTTCCTTCTCCTCCTCCTCCTCCACAGTCTCCTCCTCCTCCATCTCCTCCTCCATCTCTATATCCTCATCCATCTCCTCCACCATCCATCTCCTCCTCAATCTCTGCCTCATCCTCCTCCATCTCCACCTCCTCCTCCTCCTCCATCTCCGCCTCCTCCTTCCCCTCCTTCTCCACCTCCTCCATCTCCATCTCCTCCTCCTCCTCCTCCATCACCTCTTTCTCCTCCATCACCTCTTCTTCCTCCATCTCCTCCAACTCTTCCTCTTCCTCCACCTCTTCCTCCTCTGCCGTCATCAAATTGACTACTACTTATGGTGGCCCAACAAATGAGAGATCTCCAGGTCATACTATCTTTAACACAGTGGTTCTCAACCTGTGGGTCCCCAGGTGTTTTGGCCTACAACTTCCAGAAATCCCAGCCAGTTTACCAACTGTTAGGATTTCTGGGAGTTGAAGGCCAAAACATCTGGGGACCCACAGGTTGAGAACCACTGCTTAGCGGCTCAAGACTCAGTGTGACTTCCTTGATTGAGTCTATCCAACTGAAAGGTGATCTTCCTCTGTTCCTGCCTTCTATCTTGTCAAGCTTTGTTGTTGTCTTTTCTAATATCTTCTCATTTCCTTAATATAGCAAGCTTAATTCAACCATTTTTGGCTTCAAGAAAGCTCTCATCTTGATTTGTTCTTGGAACCATTTATTGCAAATTGATGTCCCTTCCCTCCAATTGCATTCTAATGGAATTTCAACTGAAATAGCACTAGGGCGATTTCATTTACTTATTTCATTTACTTAATTAAGCCCATAGCACAGAAAACATGAGGTTAGACCTGTGCTATAGAGGTCACGTTCACCACCCCTTCCTGATCTAAAATGTTATTTCAGTGGAGCGTGTGAACTAGCAAGTTGCTTGATAGGACTTGCAAAATTTGTAATGTTGGGTGGATTTGTGGGAAATTGGATGATGATGATGAAACAAAAAAAATTCAGCCTGGTCATGATGATTCATTCACTTTTGCTGAGGGCTTTGGCATGGAATCTCACAAAGTACACATCAAAATAGGGACGTTGTGCCAACCTAACTCTTTCTCTTCAGGAAGGCTTGGTAGAATCGGTTTGTTCATAATATTTTGTGTGTTTCCACTTACAGCTTCTGATCCAGATATAATAAAGGCATCAGGAGACAGTGAGTAATACTTCTTTTATTTGTACATTCGTAGCAGTAAAGTAGTAATCAGATTGCTTGAATGAGGCAGATGCATTCCTTCATTCCATTTGGAACAATATATGGTTTGTGCATCTTCCAGCTTTTTGGTGATCCTGTAACTAGTGATATCTTAGGATTTATTCAGAGTAGGTTGAACATTGCCTTCCTGTATGACTGAGAGGAAGTGGCTTACGAAAGGTCACCTAGTCAGTTTCCCTGGGGATTTTAACACACACACCCCCCCCCGAAATTTTTCAGGTTAAAAAAAAAACTGGTTTACTCATGAATTTTAACTGGTTAACCAAATCCCCATGCTAAGTCTATGAGACGCAAAAAATTAAGAGTCCCTCCAGAACTGCAAGCACTATCTCAAGCAAATATTGACAATTTATTCACACTGTCATTACTTGCAGCAATAGCCGATGTAGCGAAGCAACCAAGTTGGGGGGGGGTGTTGAATGCTCTCATTAAGGAGGCCAGACTTGGTGGAGGTGGTTGACAGGGGTGGAGCTGCAGGCTATTGAAGGCTGCTCTGCCCCCTGCTGTGCTCTTTGCTTCAGCGTGAGCTAAGAGGCAGGTTTCAACCCCCCCCCCCAAATTTCAACCCTCCCCCCCAAATTTTCAACCCTCCCTGAATTTTTTTCTGGCTGTGGCCCTGGCAGTAAGAGCACCTAGAGCTTCGGAGAGCTTCTGTTCAACCATCTCAAAGCTCCCTGCTTGAGCAGTAATGGCACGATCATCAGCATCAATGAAGCTCTCTGACATAATGAGAAGACAGGAAAGCTTAGAGAAGATAATGATGCTGGGGGAAATGGAAGGAAAAAGGAAGGGGACCCTACCAAGGGCAAGATGGATGGATGGTATCCTTGAAGTGACTGGCTTGACTCTGAAGGAGCTGTTGGTGGTGACGGCTGACAGGGAGCTCTGGCGTGGGTTGGTCCAAGAGGTCATGAAGAGTCGGAAGCAACTGAACAAATAACAACAATATTAAGAAGTAACCAAAACCCATTCCTTGAAATGACATTCGTTTGGTGGCTGCAAGAGAAGCATATTAGAGACATATTTTAGTCTTTTAAGATATACAAACATAACATTTCAGGATGGTCAAAAGCTTGAGTATGTGTGTGAAAAGTCTACTTTGGATTCATCCTTCACTATCTAATCCTAACTTCTTGGTGGATTTGCTAACTCTGAATGACTTAATTTAAATTAGCACCTAGGAATTGGTCGGTATGTTTATGCCTTTGAATTGAAACACTCTTTTGATAAATTATAATGGAAAGTGGGTTGTTGTAGGTTTTTCCGGGCTATATGGCCATGGTCTAGAGGCATTATCTCCTGATGTTTCAACTGCATCTATGGCAAGCATCCTCAGAGGTAGTGAGGTCTATTGTAACTACCAGTATTAAAAACCTCTAAAATTACGACAGCACAACAACACAGAGGAAAGAAACAAGGACATCTAATCACCTCTCAAGAAATGTTTGCTCCAGGCACTGTCAGGCCATTATATGCTAATCAAGGTGGTCAGTTGAAACATTCACACCTAGCTCCAGCAGACAAGAGTCCTTTGTCCCACACTGGTAATTCCACAGATATATAAACCCTTTTTCCTAGTTCCAACAGACCTCACTACCTCTGAGGATGCTTGCCATAGATGCAGGTGAAAAGTCAGCTGTTCGTCCCACAAGAATCACTGGGTTGTTGTAGGTTTTTTCAGGCTATATGGCCATGTCTAGAGGCATTCTCTCCTGACGTTTCACTGCATCTATGGCAAGCATCCTCAGAGGTAGTGAGGTCTGTTGGAACTAGGAAAAAGGGTTTATATATCTGTGGAATGACCAGGGTGAGACAAAGGACTCTTGTCTGCTGGAGCTAGGTGTGAATGTTTCAACTGACCACCTTGATGAGCATCTAATCACCTCTCAAGCAGACAAGAGTCCTTTGTCTCACCCCGGTCATTCCACAGATATATAAACCCTTTTTCCTAGTTCCAACAGACCTCACTACCTCTGAGGATGCTTGCCATAGATGCAGGCGAAACGTCAGGAGAGAATGCCTCTAGAACATGGCCATATAGCCCAAAAAAACCTACAACAACCCAGTGATTCGGCCATGAAAGCCTTCGACAATATAATAGAAAGTGTTGCTTGATGAAGGGATATTTACTAAAATAATGGATAGATGTTGCCCACTGGCCACTGTGGTGGGCGAAGACTCTGCTTTAGGGTTCCTCTCAGTTGCTCTTTCAACCTTGTTTACTTTTCTAAGATGTTTTAGTGTCCTCTTTTCTCAGATTTTTCTGTTTCTTTGCTTGTTTCCTTTCACCTGTGTAGACAGCTGCCACTATGCCTTGCATGCAAAAGAAGGCGTAGTCACCCGTTTCAGCACCCCAGGTTTCCCGAACAGCCCTTACCCTTCCAATGTACGTTGCCTTTGGGCCCTCAGGGCCGATGCGGACTCTGTCATCAGCCTGACCTTCACAACCTTTGATGTGGAGCCGTGCTCTGTTGGGAACGATTTCGTGAAAGTATACGACTCGCTGAGCCCCGTGGAACCTCATGCACTGGTGAAGTAAGTGCATCAGATCATTATCAGGCTAAAAGGTCAAGAGAGAAAATCAAGGCGAGAATGCTGAACAAAAAAGATTTGAATGTAAATCTATCTATCTATCTATCTATCTATCTATCTATCTATCTATCTATCTATATATATATATATAAATAAATAAATGCTCTGGTCATAATGAGTACCTTAAAAACAAAAGAACCAATGAACGAAATCACACCAAATTTGGCAACAAAATGTCTCACAACACAAGGAGTGACCATCACTCAAAAAATTATGATTTGGTCATTTGGGAGTTGTAGTTGCTGGGATTTATAGTTCACCTACAATCAAAGAGCATTCTGAACACCAACAAAGATGGAATTGAACCGAACTTGACACATAGAACTCCCATGACCAACAGAAAATATTGGAAGGGTTTGGTGGGCATTGACCTTGAGTTTTGGAGTTGTAGTTCACCTACATCCAGAGAGCACTGTGGACTCAAACAATGAAAGACCAAACTTGGCACGAGTGCTCCATATGCTCAAATATAAACACAGATGGAGTTGGGGGTAAATAGACCTTGACATTTGGGAGTTGTAGTTACTGGGATTTATAGTTCACCTGCAATCAAAGTGCATTTTGAACCCCAGCAATGATACAATTGGGCCAGACTTCCCACACAGAATCCCCATGACCAACGGAAAATACTGTTGTCTTTAGTAACCCTTCTGACACCCCCTCATGACCCCCAGGTTGAGAAACACTGTAATAGAGGATAACATAGGAATCACTAGACTGGGCCACAGCAACACGTGGCAGGGCATGGCTAGTAGTTGATATATTTAGGAGGTTGTCACTCTTTCTCTATTAACTGGAAAATAGATAATTTAATATGGGCAGGGGCTGTATGTTGCAACAGTGAAAGGGAAGAACTCATCTCTCAAAGCTGCTACTCTGGTAGAGGTTGACTTCAATCCAGCTAAAGTAAACTCATTGAATCAGTGTGATTTACCAATGTGTTGATTTTCCATCCCTCAATTAATTCAGTGGGATAGGCAATGTCTGCTTTGGTCCCACACCTGGAATATTGTGTCCAATTCTGGGCACCACAATTGAAGGGAGATATTGACAAGCGGAATGTGTCCAGAGGAGGGCGACTAAAATGATCAAGGGTCTGGAGAACAAGCCCTATGAGGAGCGGCTTAAGGAGCTGGGCAGGTTTAGCCTGAAGACAAGAAGGCTGAGAGGAGATATGATAGCCACAGTATAAATATGTGAGAGGAGGGAGCAAGCTTGTTTTCTGCTTCCCTGGAGACTAGGATGCGGAATAATGGCTTCAAACTACAAGAAAGGCGATTCCATATGAACATGAGGAAGAACTTTCTGACTGTGCTTCCAACTCTATGATTCTATGGTCAGCATTCACCTGGGATACTGTGTCCAATTCTGGGCACCACAATTTAAGAGAGATATTGACAAGTTGAAAGGTATCTGGAAGAGGACAACTAAAAGGATCAAAGGTTTCGAGACCATGAATCCCTCTGAGGAGCGTCTTAAAGGGCTGGTTCTCTTTAGCCTGCAGAAGGTAAGACTGAGAGGAGACATGATAATCATGTTTAAATATCTGATAGGATGCCACAAGGAAGAGGGAGCAGGCTTCCTTTCTGCTGCCTTGAAGACTAGGACTTGGAACAATAGAGATTCCACCTGAACATTAAGAAGAACTTCCCAACCATAAGAGCTGTTCAACAGTGGAACTCTCTGCCTTGGAGTCCAGTGGAAGCTCCTTCTTTGGAGGCTTTTAAACAGAGGCTGGATGGCCATGTGTTGGGAGTACTTTGATTGTGCTTTTCCAGCAGGTCAAGGGGTTGGACTAGATGGCCCTTGGGGTCTTTTCTGTGATTCTTTGATTTATAGAATCATAGAGTTGGAAGAGACCTCATGGGCCATTCAGTCCAACCCCCTGCCAAGAAGCAAGAAAATTACATACAAAGCATCCCTATCAGATGACTATTCAACCTCTGTTTAAAACAAGAAGAAGGAGCCTCTACCACACTCCAGGGAAGAGAGTTCCACTGCTGAATGGCTCTCACAGTCAGGAAATTCTTCCTGATGTTCAGATGGAATCTCCTTTCTTGTAGTTTGAAGCCATTGTTCTGCGTCCTAGTCTCCAGGGCAGCAGAAAACAAGCTTGCTCCCTCATCCCTATGACTTCCTCTCACATATTTATACATGGCTATCAGAAGAAGGCAACTAAAAGGATCAAAGGTCTGGAAACCATGAAACCCTCTGAGGAGCGTCTTAAAGAGCTGGTTCTGTTTAGCCTGCAGAAGATAAGACTGAGAGGAGGCATGATAATCATGTTTAAATATTTTATATGATGCCACAAGGAAGAGGGAGCAGGCTTCCTTTCTGCTGCCTTGAAGACTAGGACTTGGAACAATAGAAATTCCACCTGAACATTAAGAAGAACTTCCTAACCATAACTGGAACTCTCTGCCTTGGAGTCCAGTGGAAGCTCCTTCTTTGGAGGCTTTTAAACAGAGGCTGGATGGCCATGTGTTGGGAGTACTTTGATTGTGCTTTTCCAGCAGGTCAAGGGGTTGGACTAGATGGCCCTTGGGGTCTCTTCTGTGAGTTGGAAGAGACCTCATGGGCCATCCAGTCCTACCCCCTGCCAAGAAGCAGGAATATTGCATTCAAAGCACCCCTGACAGATGGCCATCCAGCCTCTGATTAAAAGCTTCCAAAGAAGGAGCCTCCACCACACTCCAGGGCAGAGAGTTCCACTGCTGAACAGCTCTCACAGGCAGGAAGTTCTTCCTCATGTTCAGATGGAATCTCCTCTCTGTAGTTTGAAGCCATTATTCCGCGTCCTAGTCTCCAGGGCAGCAGAAAACAAGCTTGCTCCCTCCTCCCTATGACTTCTTCTCACATATTTATACATGGCTATCAGAAGAGGGCAACTAAAAGGATCAAAGGTCTGGAGACCATGAATCCCTCTGAGGAGCGTCTTAAAGAGCTGATTCTGTTTAGCCTGCAGAAGATAAGACTGAGAGGAGACATGATAATCTTGTTTAAATATCTGATAGGATGCCACAAGGAAGAGGGAGCAGGCTTCCTTTCTGCTGCCTTGAGGACTACGACTTGGAACAATAGAAATTCCACCTGAACATTAAGAAGAACTTCCTAACCATAACTGGAACTCTCTGCCTTGGAGTCCAGTGGAAGCTCCTTCTTTGGAGGCTTTTAAACAGAGGCTGGATGGCCATGTGTTGGGATTACTTTGATTGTGCTTTTCCAGCAGGTCAAGGGGTTGGACTTGGATGGCCCTTGGGGTCTCTTCTGTGATTATTTATTTATTTATTTATTTGGTAGTTTTGTATACCGGTCTTCTCACCTCCATTCGAGGGACTCGGGCCGGTTTCCAACATCAATATTACAGACTGTCATTAAAACATCATATTTCTAAATCACACTAAAACATTAAAACATTGAAACAATTAAAATAGCAAAAATACAATCATATGATTGCAGTAGTCAGTCGTCATCAAAGTCATTATTTGTCGTCATCCATCCATATCACAGGATCCTGGCTCATTCGTTGAAGCCAGGTTTTCACCTGTTTCCTGAACGTTAAGATCGAAGGGGCAGTTCTGATCTCCAGTGGAAGGGAGTTCCAGAGTCGAGGGGCCACCACCGAGAAGGCCCTGTCTCTCGTCCCCACCAGCCGCGCCTGTGAGGCCGGTGGATCGAGAGCAGGGCCCCTCCAGACGATCCGATTCTTTGATTCAGGTCATGTGCTGCAATGATGCATCCTCAATTCCAAAGTTTCCATGCTCTTTGGCCACATTATGTCACAAATGACAGATACAGCAACAATTGATAAGCTGACTTGAGAGATGTATTGGTCTTAGTCTATGGAATATTCACAACAAGTAATGTGTGCAGGTTAGCTCTTCTGTTTACTTGCTCTTCTCTTCCTCTTCCTTCATAGGCTCTGTGGCAGCTTCAATCCCTCATACAACCTGACGTTTGTCTCCTCCCAAAACGTGCTGCTGGTCATGCTCATCACAGACGCGAAGGGACGTCATCCTGGCTTCCAGGCAGAGTTTTTTCAGATGCCAAAAAATAGACGTAAGAACTTTATGCTGCTCTGTTCTACTCTGTTCAGGGTCAGGAGCGTTGTAAAGCATGGGGTTTCTTTTAGCAAAAGAGGAGAAGGACAGCTCAAAAGTGACTACTGTTGAAAACATCTTGAGAAGATAATACTTTGAATAAGAAGGACCCCGAGGTATAGGTTCTTTAGTCAAATCTCAGAAGAGCTGGTAATAAATAGCATCTCTTGCCTGCCTGATCTTTCTTAATGAGAACTGGTCAGGAGTTGCTTTGTCTTGATCAGGTGGATAGATGCAAACGGGCGAAGTATAATTGGTCCCCTGGGTTAAACTCTTGCCTTTTAAGTAAACCTGTTCTCTCCAGAGACTGGCTTAACCTCATTAAAGGCTGAACTGCACGACTTTTGTCTCTTCCTATTTGCTCATTTTGGATGCTCAAAAATAGGGCTGACTTTGTTTTCCTTTTCTTTTAGCCTGTGGTGGGGTTTTGACAGGAACATCTGGAAACTTCACCACCCCTTACTATCCTGGTCATTATCCTCCCAATATGGACTGTGTATGGAATATCAAGGTAAGAGGCTTAGAACAAGAATGACTCCTTGCTTATCCTTGAATTCACATTGTAGATTAGGAGATGGAGCCATGGATCTTATTGAAAGCCCAACTGGATAATGACTTTATAATGAGATGCTGAGGACTTGTGTTTTTATTGTTTTTACTGTTTTTATATGGCTTATATTATATGTTAATGTTCTGGATTATATTTTATGTTGTTGGTGGCATTGATTGCCGGCTGTAAACCATCTTGAGTCGCCTTTGGGCTGAGAAAGGCGGTATATAAAGATAGTAAATAAATCATAGAATCAAAGAGTTGGAAGAGACCTCATGGGCCATCCAGTCCAACCCCCTGCCAAGAAACAGGAATATTGCATTCAAAGCACCCCTGACAGGTGGCTGTCTAGCCTCTGTTTAAAAGCTTCCAAAGAAGGAGCCTCCACCACACTCCGGGGCAGAGAGTTCCACTGCTGAACGGCTCTCACAGTCAGGAAGTTTATTTATTTATTTATTTCACAGTTTTCTATACCGAGCTTCTCAACCTCGTCGAGGGACTCAGCCCGGTTTCCAGCAATAAAAAACATATACACTCATTAAAATATCATATATCACAATTACAAAAACAACTTTAAAAACACTATATATAAAACTACAGTGGTCAGTCGTCCTATTAAGATGGATCTACATCAACTTCCATCCAGGGTCCTATGGTGTTGTCTCATTCATCGAAGGCCTGACTCCACAGCCACGTCTTCACCCGTTTCCTAAATGTTAGGATGGATGGGGCGGTTCTGGCCTCCAGAGGGAGAGAGTTCCAGAGTCGCGGGGCCACCACCGAGAAGGCCCTGTCCCTCGTCCCCACCAGGCGCGCTTGCGAGGCCGGTGGGACCGAGAGCAGGGCCTCTCCAGATGATCTTAGTAGTCTTGATGGTACGTAGGGGAGAATACGTTCGGAGAGGTAAACAGGGCCGGAGTCGTTTAGGGCTTTATAGGTCAACACCAGCACTTTGAATTGAGCTCGGAAGCTAATTGGCAGCCAGTGGAGCTGGCGTAACAGCGGAGTGGTGTGCTCCCTGTACCCAGCCCCCGTTAGTAATCTGGCTGCCGCGTTGGACTTGCTGCAGCTTCCGGGCAGTCTTCAAAGGCAACCCCACGTAGAGAGCGTTGCAGTAGTCTAAGGGGGATGTAACCAAAGTGTGTACTACCATGGCCAAGTCAGCCCTCCCAAGGTACGGACGCAGCTGGCGCACAAGTTTTAATTGTGAATGCTCCCCTGACAACCCCCTGACATGGGCTTCCAGGCTCAGCGATGAATCCAGGAGAACTCCGAGACTGCGTACCTGAGCTTTCAGGGGGAGTGTGACCCCGTCCAGCACAGGCTGTAACCCCGTACCCTGTTCGGTCTTACGACTGACCAGGAGTACCTCTGTCTTGTCTGGATTTAGTTTCAATCTGTTGTCCCTCATCCAGTCCGAGACAGCGGCCAAGCACCGGTTCATGACCTGAACAGCCTCCTTAGTGGTAGGTGGAAATGAGTGATAGAGTTGGACATCATCTGCATACAGATGACATCGCACCCCAAAACTCCGGATGATCTCTCCCAACGGCTTCATGTATATGTTAAACAACATAGGGGACAGTATTGAGCCCTGTGGGACTCCACAGTGCAATGGCCGAGGAGTCGAGCAGGAGTCCCCTAGTGACACCTTCTGGGAGCGACCCTCGAGAAAGGACCGGAGCCACTGCAAGGCAGTACCCCCAAGACCCATTCCCGCGAGGCGTCCCAGAAGGATACCGTGGTCGACGGTATCGAAGGCCGAAGAGAGGTCCAGCAGAACCAACAGGGACACACTCCCCCTGTCCAGTTCCCGGCAAAGATCATCAACTACTGCTGAACGGCTGTCACAGTCAGGAAGTTCTTCCTAATGTTCAGATGGAATCTCCTTTCTTGTAGTTTGAAGCCATTTTTCCATGTCCTAGTCTCCAGGGAAGCAGAAAACAAGCTTGCTCCCTCCTCCCTGTGACTTCCTCTCACATATTTGTACATGGCTATCATATCTCCTCTCAGCCTTCTCTTCTTCAGGCTAAACATGCCCAGTTCTTTAAGCCGTTCTTCATAGGGCTTGTTCTACAGACCCTTGATCATTTTAATCACCCTCCTCTGGACACATTCCAGCTTGTCAATATCTCTCTTCAATTGTGGTGCCCAGAATTGGACACAACATTCCAGGTGTGGTCTAACCAAGGCACAATAGAGGGGTAGCATGACTTCCCTTGGATCTAGACACTATGCTCCTATTGATGCAGGCCAAAATCCCATTGGCTTTTTTTGCCGCCACATCACATTGTTGGCTCATGTTTAACTTGCTGTCCACAAGGACTCCAAGATCTTTTTCACATGTACTGCTCTTGAGCCAGGCATCCCCCATAAATAGATAATAGACTCATTGCGTCAAAGAGTGTTTTCTTGCTATTCAACATTTATTTCAATGTGTCTACTAGAACTTGCATTGGGATCCAGTCCAGAAGCTGGGAACCTGTTGTAGCTTTGTGCAGGTGCAAATGCCATTGCACAAATGGTTGTGCTTTCTTGGTGGTTGACATTCCTTTTGGGTTGTGCAAGTCTTGTGATGTCACCATCAAGGGCTGTGCAAGTCTAGAAGTGCACTGCCTATGTGTTCTAAAAGTGAGGTGCTTTTCAGTGGTGCAATTTAGCCCTGAAGCATAGGAATGGATGAACTACTACAGCTTCCACCTGTCCCTTGTTGTGCCAGGTACCAGTGCATAACAGAGATGGGCAAAATGTGTGCCATAACATGCATCTAGGTCCCAATTTGCACCCCTCAAAGGACCCCGAAGCCCACCTCCCTACATTGAATTGGGGGAATTGGCTCAAAATTGCCATAACCCTAGTAAAATACAATGGATTTGTACTCACAACTCCCCCCCCATAACCCAAAATAATAAGTCCCTCACCACTAGATCAACTCAAAATCATGTTGGGTGTACAGATGAGGCCCATCTGCTGCGATGTGATGTCCCAAGAGTACAAAACCTGGGAAAACTCCAACTCTTCTGTTGTATCTACAGAACCTTGTTGACTCTGCAGCTTGCAGCTATAGAATTATTTTCGTTCTTTAACGTTGAAGAAATTGAGACTTCCTCTTCCTAAAGCCCAATTTGTTGGAAAAGCTGGTTGCGGCTTCTAGAAGCAGAAGTCCAAACATCTGAAGGACTAGTGTTGAGGACTCATCAATGAGACAGGAATGTTGCATTGTTATCTAGAGTATCTCTGGAAAGCAACAGAAAAGAGAAGTAGTTTTGTAATACTAACACCGCCTCCCTCCACCTTCCACTCTTGTTTTCAGGTCCCAAAAGATAAGAATGTGAAGGTTCGCTTCAAGGAGTTCTTCCTTGTGGAGCCTGGACTTCCATCTGATTCCTGTACCAAGGACTATGTAGAAATCAACAAAGAGAAGTAAGCACCGAGTCTTGATGTTCCTGTTGAAATTGGAATTAGAAGCTTGTTGTGGCAGTAGGACTGAAGAATGATTCATTGCCCATAGCTGGCAATACGTATAACATAATTTTATTATTACTTCATAACTATAATTTTGCTATTGTTATGAATCGTCATCTAAATATCTGATATGCAGGATATATTTTCATCCACTGGATCAAATTTGGCACACATACCCAATACACCCAAATTTGAATACTGGTGGGGTGGGGGGTTGATTTTGTCATTTGGGAGTTGTAGTTGCTGGGATTTATAGTTCATCTACAATCAAAGAGCATTCTGAACTCCACTAATGATGGAATTGAACCAAACTTGGCACACAGAACTCCCATGACCAACAGAAAATACTGGAAGTGTTTGGTGGGCACTGACCTTGAGTTTTGGTGTTGTAGTTCACTTACATCCAGAGAGCACTGTGGACTTGAACAATTATGGATCTGGACCAAATTTGGCACAAATACCCGATATGCCCAAATTTGAATACTGATGGGGTGGGGGTTGATTTTGTCATTTGGGAGTTGTAGTTGCTGGGATTTATAGCTCACCTTCAATCAAAGAGCATTCTGAACCCCACCAACGATAGAATTGGGCCAAACTTCCCACACAAAACCTTCATGACCAACAGAAAATACTGTTAGCAACCCCTTTGACACCCTCTCGCAACCTTCCCAGTGGTCCCGACCCTCAGGTTGTTCTAGTGCAGTGGTTCTCAACCTGGGGTCGCCAGATATTTTTGGCCTTCAACTCCCAGAAATCCTAACTGGTGGTAAACTGGCTAGGATTTCTGGGAGTTGTAGGCCAAAAACATCTGGGGACCCCCAGGTTGAGAAGCACTGTTCTAGTGTGTATTGGTTGAGACCAGCATATATTGCTGCACTGCCCCATTACAGAGCTTCACAATCTATTAACAAGGTTTCTGTGCTTCTCTATTATATAGCTCAGTATAAGTTACATAACATTGAATATAACAGGATTCTGCCCATTGCTCTCACTTTGTTGGCTCAACTTTTGTTTGACCCCTGCCTTCATGTGACCCCTCAGGTACTGTGGGATGCGTAATACTTTTGTGGTGTCAAGTAAGACCAACGAAATCACTGTCCGTTTCCATTCGGACCTTTCGTTTGTAGACACTGGATTTTGGGCTGAGTTCCTGTCCTACGACTCCAATGACCGTGAGTAGAAATGCAAATACTTGGACTTCTCAAAGGCGGCCACTAACGTGTAAGGGAAGACTTAAAGTATACGGAGAGCAGTAGGGCTCTTGGAGTTCTTTGGAGTGAAAAGTTTTGGGTGAATGTGCAGGAAGACCTGGGAGAGATGCATCCTAGGTAAAAAATGGCGAATGAACTCTTTTGCACCATCGTAGAACACTGAGTCATCCAATTAAGTTGATTAGCAAACTATTAACATGGAAAACTTGTTCAAGTCCCCTTTTCTCATTGTATAGTGGTAGGCCCATATCTCAGTGGAGGAGCAGGTACTTTGTGTGCTGGAAATCCAAGCAGCTCCAAATGAAAATAGAAAATGATAGGAAAGGCATTAGCATTTTAGAGTGCATCGACAGTGTAGAATTAATACAGTTTGACTCTACTTTAGCTGCCATGGCTTAACCGCATCTCCCTCTAGAGACCAACTCGGACACTGCGGTCATCGGAGGAGGTCCTCCTCTCAGTTCCACCCCTGTCCCAAGCATGGCTGGTGGGAACGAGAGAAAGGGCCTTCTCCGTGGCTGCCCCCCACCTCTGGAACTCCCTTCCTAAGGAGTTAGAGAGGGCCCCCTCCCCACTTTCAAAAAACAGCTGAAGACATATCTTTGCTCACTGGCTTACGAGGAGGAGGAATAGTAGTTGGTAATACTACCATTATAATTCTCTGATTTATAGTTGCCATCCATATCCATGCCCTGCTCACCCCAACAGCTCAAAAGATATCTTGAGCAATGATTAATCAATTTGCCAAAAAGAAATGGGAAATTATTGTTTCTGTTTGATGTTTTGTCTTATGTCTGTTATAACAGGCTGTGCATTTTTTCTAATTTTAGTTTGTTAAGTTATAATTCATATTTATATGTTGGGTTGTATAAATTTTGTTAGTATGGATGTATTGTTGTTGTATTCGGGCATTGAATGTTTGCCTTTCATGTTTGGAATCCACCCTGAGTCCCTTTGGGGAGATACGAGCGGAATATAAATAATGTATTTATTATTTATTTCATGCATTTCTACCCTGCCCTTCTCCCCGCAAAGGGGGACTCAGGGTGGCCTCACATAAGCAACATGTGATGCTGTCAGCATATAAACAAACAAGGATTACAGTTAAAACAGTAAAAATCATTAAAACATACTATACAAATCATTCAACAATAGGTTAAACATAAAAATTAAAACCAAGACCAATTCGGGTAAATCTAATGTCGCATATGTCCTAAATTTTGGTCCCAAAGTCTTTGTCCCAAAGCCAAGTCTTCAATTGTCTTCTAAAGGACAGGAGGGAGGTGGCCAACCTGATGTCCTTAGGGAGGCAGTTCTACAGACGGGGGCCACTGCTGAGAAGGCCCTGTCTCTCATCCCCACCAACCGCATTTGCAAGAGTGGTGGGGTCGAGAGCAGGGCCTCCCCTGATGATCTTAAGCTTTGTGGTAGTTCGTAACAAGAGATACGTTTGGACAGATAATCTGGGCCAGAACCGTTTAGGGCTTTAAAGGTTAAAACCAGGACTTTGAATTGTGCTCGGAAGCTGATTGGCAGCCAGTGGAGATGGAGCAGCAAAGGAATAGTATGCTCCCTGTATGCCACTTTGGAGAGCAGCCTGGCTGCCAACCGTTGGATTAATTGAAGCTTCCAAGAAGTCTTCAAAGGCAGCCCCATGTAGAGAGTGTTGCAGTAGTCTATTTGGGATGTAACCAGAGCATGGACCACCGTGACCAAGTCAGAATTTTATTATTATTATATATTATTATTAGTGCCACAGAGTTATGGGAATTGTATTTTTAAAAGGTACCTTCTCTGCCTAAGAGTGCTGGTGCCTCATCAAATTACAACTCCCAGGTTATTATAGCACTGAGCCATGGAAAATATTCTGAGTCTTTTTGGAGGTGGTTCCTTTTGTTTGACTGCAGAGACTAATGTGGATCTTTTAATCTCTTTTCCCTTCCCTCCCTCTTCCCGTTTCTCCATGCTGACCTGTAGCTTGCCCAGGGAAATTCACCTGTTCCAGTGGCCGCTGCATCGACAAGTCCAGGCGTTGCGATGGTTGGCTCGACTGTCCAGGTGGTGGGGATGAGAGAGACTGCAGTGAGTTTCCCATTTCAACTTATGGGGTGGATAATATACAGTGTTGCATGTCATCCAGTAATCTCTCCAAACGTACAAAACTTTGGCTAGTGAACTTTTAGCTCCATCATTAATTCTGTCTTAGTTAAGGAGCTGTTTGAGGAACTTGAGGAACTTGATGCCTCTTCCATCACAATTCAGTTCTCTGCTGAGTAAAGACCAAGTTATTCATGTGTGTCTGTTCCTTGGGTGTAAAGTCTCACATATCCAATTTGTAATATTTATATTAAATATATTTATTTATTTAGAAGTTTTATATCCCGTTCTTCTCTACCTCCGTGGAGGGACTCAGAACGACTAACAGCAAGAATTCATTGAAATCCACAAGCATGTGGACAATTTCAACAGAAAAGAGGAAACCATGAAAATGAACAAAATCTGGCTACCAATATTAAAAAAACTCTAAAATTACAACAGCAAAACAACAGAGAGTAAACAATCAGGGACATCTAATCATCTCTCAACAAAAGATTCCTCCAGGCACTGCCAAGCCATCAAATGCTAATTAAGGTGGTCAGTTGAAACATTCACACCTATCTCCAGCAGACAAGAGTCCTTTGCCCCACCCAGGTCATTCCACAGATATATAAACCCATTTTCCTACTTCCAACAGACCTCACTACCTCTGAGGATGCTTGCCATAGCTGCAGGCGAAATGTCAGGAGAAAATGCCTCTAGAACATGGCCATATAGTCCGGAAAAACCTACAACAACCCAGTTTTAAAGATTGTTTTAATGCACAGACCTAGCGGTTTCGGGTCCCATATGGCAGAAAAGTGATATATTTTTTTAAAAAACAGATGAATAAATAAATCAGTGTTCTTTAACAGGAAATATTACTTCATTTTTATTCACTCATACCCCATTTTTTAATGATATTTTTTATTAAGGGGGATATGGCTAACTCCGAAAAGGTTCTTAAGGACCCCACGTTCCCTTTTTCCATCCTAACCCCTTTGCTCCTTCCGTCTCCAGATTGTACTGAAAAGCAGCTCCGGTGCCGTAATGGTTGGTGCAAGCCGAAGTATTGGCTTTGCGATGGCGTGGATGACTGTGGGGACAACAGTGATGAACTGCAGTGCCGTGAGTAATCTCACTTGGATGGAGAGCATGAGTGTCTGCATAAGCAGGGAGGGGTTTCTGGCTAATTTCCCTACAACAAGGATAGGGTCTACATAGCCCTCCGGGGGATTGTCAACCTTTTCTTAGTGTTGTTTATGCTGGTGAGGGTTGCAGACAGTTGCACAACTTAAACGACTTCTGGAGCACTTCTGCCCACAATTCCTACCATTCTCTATAGCAATGCTTCTTAAATTCTGGGTCTCAACCACAAATGAGGTCCACTTAGCTCAGAGTTTGGCAACAATAAAAATGTTATGAATATCACCTAGTGGTTGTTTTAGACATTTACACTAATCTGTTGTGCAGTGTATAACGAAAGGAAGGATCCCCCTTTATAATCTAACACCAAATATCAATGTATATCACGTCGCTGGACACCAGTATAAAAGACTAGCTGTCCCCTGCCAGGCGTTGCTGTGGCCCATTCTGTTGATCTGGAAAATAAAGTAATGAGAAAGTGTTGGTTTCTAATATATGTAATGTCTTTATGCTTGTGGGTAAACAGTATTTCTTGCTGTTTCTTTGTCAGTGTTGATGTGGAGAGTGTCTGGTTTGCCCACCCTGGAAAATGCGACATATAATTTTCCTTCTTCAGGGGTCCCTTTCAAATCTATGATACTATATCTCTCTCTGTGTGTGAATCAGTATCTATATCTCTGGCTGCATGGCTCTTTGTCAGGAAGGCTTTGATTACATTTTCTTGCCCTAGTGAAGGGAATTGGACTGGATAGCCTTGAGTATTTTCTGTTGGTCATGGGGGTTCTGTGTGGGAAGTTTGGCCCAATTCTGTAGTTGGTCTGGTTCAGGACGCCCTTTGATTGTAGGTGAACTATAAATCCCAGTAACTACAACTCTCAAATGTCAAGGAAGGCCTATTCCCCCCCAAACTCCATCTGTATTCATATTTGGGCATATGGAATATTCGTGCCAAGTTTGGTCCAGATCCATCATTTTTTGAGTCCATGGTAGTCTCTGGATGTAGGTGAACTACAACTCCCAAACTCAAGGTCAATGCCCACCAAACACTTCCAGTATTTTCTGTTGGTCATAGGAGTCCTGTGTGCCACGTTTGGTTCAATTCCATTGTTGGTGGGGTTCAGAATGCTCTTCGATTGTAGGTGAACTATAAATCCCAGCAACTACAACTCCCAAATGACAAAATCATAATTTTTTGAGTGATAGTCACTCCGTGTGTTGTGAGATGTTTTGTTGCCAAATTTGGTGTGATTTCATTCATTGGTTCTTTTGTTTTTAAGGAACTCATTATGCACCGAGCATTTTTATATATATAGATCATACGATGTACTATAATATATCCCACAGCTGAACACCGCTGTAAAGGATGATATGAAATATCACACTATTTATTTATTTATTTATTTATTTATTTATTTATTTCAGTTACTTCTACCCTGCCCTTCTCACCCCCAAGGGGGGACTCAGGGCGGCTTACAAAGGAAGGCACAATTCGATGCCTATGTCAAAAATACATACATACATAAAAGCAATTAAACAGTTAACAGGTTAAAAACATCAGTACATAACACAATAGTAAACAATCCCATGGTCAGTGTTCATAGTTCCATAAATCCATTCCGTTCCGTCAATTCCTGCCCATCATCAAGGTCTTTCCTTTAGCTGCCAGAATGTCCAAAAGCCTGGTCCCACATCCAGGTCTTCAATTTTTTCCTGAATGAAAAAAGGGAAGTCGCTGATCTAATCTCCCCGGGGAGTGAGTTCCACAGGTGAGTGGCCACTACCGAGAAGGCCCTGCTCCTCGTCCCCGCCAGCCTCACTTGTGATAGAGGCGGGGTCGAGAGCAGAGCCTCCCCAGAAGATCTTAGACTCTGAGGTGGGATGTAGAGGGAGATCCGTTTGGACAGATACACTGGGCCGGAACGGTATAGGGTTTTGTAGGTCAAAACCAGCACTTTGAATTGTGCTCGGAATTGGATCGGTAGCCAGTGGAGTTGACACAACAGGGGGGTGGTATGCTCCCTGTATGCCGCTCCGGTGAGCAATCTGGCTGCCTCCCGCTGGACTAGTTGGAGTTTCCGAGCAATCTTCAAAGGCAACCCCACGTAGAGTGCGTTGCAGTAATCTAATCAGGATGTAACAAGAGCGTGGACCACTGTGGCCAGATCCGACTTCTGGATGATAGTATGGTAGTGAGTTGATGTTAGATAGAATGTGTAATGATAGGGTGAACACTGCTTCAGTCTTCTTTTGGTTTAATGCTGCCACCAACCCAAAATGTCTTAGGATTTTTAAACTGAGTTTCTGAAATAAACTTTTCCCCGTCACTGCCAACACAGCTCTTCCCTTAGCTCCCAAAATGACTAGCATCTTGTACTGGTTCTGATCCGCTGCCTCTGCTCCTCCTTTGTCCAATGTGAGTGTTTCTTCATTGAATGTTTCCTCTCTCCTCTTATCCTTCAGAATGCCCTGCTGGGAACTTCAAATGCAACAATGGGAACTGCATTTCGGAGGCACAGAAATGCAATGGCCGGGATGACTGCGGCGACGGCAGCGACGAGGGAAGTTGTGACTCTGGTAAGGACCGATCCTTGGAACAGAATTGTATGCAATGGCTGGGGATGGAGCAATTCCCAAAGAGGGAAGTCAGGCAGTGAACATGGGGCCCAAATGACGTAAAGCCAAGCTGAGGAACACAGCTGGCTTCGGCACAGAAAATATTCCAGGATCCTAATGATTTCAATTTATTGTATATACTCGAGTATAAGCCTAGTTTTTCAGCTCTTTTTTTAGGCTGAAAAAGCCCCCCTCGGCTTATACTCGAGTCAAGGTTATTTATTATTTTTACAGAGTATTGTAATTTCATTTATTATTTTATTCTAGTTATTATTATTACATTTATAATTTTACTCTATTATTACACATTTATTATTTTACTGTATACTTGTTGTTATTGCTACATTCATTATTTTACTCTTTTTATTATTGTTGTTACTACGTTTATTGTTACTCTCTTTATTATTATTGGAAGGATACGTAAGCACATTTGCATTGAAGAAGGTAAATAATCATTTAATCAGAGTTGGACGGTCTTATCTTAAATTACCATTTTTGTAAATATTCAAAAATATATAACCTACTGATTCCTCAATTAATGTAATTTAATTGGCATCTATTTTTATTTTGCAATTTACCCGTAGCAGCAGCATTTCCCACACTCAGCTTATACTTGAGTCAATCCGTTTTCTTGGTTTTTTTGTGGTAAAATTAGGTGCCTCAGCTTATATTCGGGTCAGCTTATACTCGAGTATATACGGTACATTAAACATACATATAGCATTGTGAGCGATGTTCCAAAACATGCTGAAGGTCATCAGTTTGAATCCATGAGACAGAATGAGCTCCCATCTGTCAGCCCCAGCTTCCCATGCAGGGATATGAGAGAAGCCTCCCACAGGATGGGCATCCCCTGGGCAACGTCTTTGTAGACAGCCAATTCTCTCACACCAGAAGCGACTTGCAGTATGTTCTCAAGTTGCTTCTGGAATAATAATAATAATAATAATAATAATAATAATAATAAATTAAGTATTCTGCTGAAGTAATACAGATATTCCAAAATTTTTGAATTCAAAGAATCTGGGATATCAGTGTTCAAAGGGATCTAAGTGTAAGAGAGAAATTGTCGCACAAGCTTTTGAAGTCTAGTCTCCTGCCTCAGATGCCAGAGTCCTTGGTTCTGCTTTCTGGAGATGAATTAGTCATTCACTTGAGGGTGGGCAGAGGGCCTTACTCAGAAGGGAAATTCTCATTGCAAGCATGAATTGTGGTGTCTCCTCCTATAAAGAAGTGCAATTGCTTCAGAGCTTCAGAACATTCCTTGCTTTCTGCCACAGCTGAATGCAAATGCACCGCTTTCCTGACAAAAAAGCTTCCTTCTTTCCTTGTGCTTTCCTTACAGTGGTCACAGTCCCCTGCCAGGACTACACCTACAAATGCCGCAACAACCTGTGCGTCAACAAGAGGAACCCAGAGTGTGATGGCAAAAAGGACTGCAGTGATAATTCGGATGAGGACAATTGCAGTGAGTAGAAGTAATATTTATTTCCCTTGAGGTGCCTGGGGGAGTCCGATGTTGCAACCCAGATCAGGAAACAAGACCATAAGATTAAATCCACCACACTTGATTGTGGGAAAAAACAATCCTTTTTTATTGATGAAAAAATGGTTACAAAATAGAAGAAAATGCAAAGTCCAAAAGCCACAGTAAAACTCAGGAATGTCTCTGAACTAGATCAAAATTCCAAAAGCAACACCATAAAAACCTGGAACCTGTTAGTATCTCACTAACCGTACTTGGAAACTAGAAGCCTCTGGGAATGCAGGCCATGGGAAACGGGAACTCAGCCAAGGTGATGCCTCAGTCTAAACAATGCTTGATCTAACAAGACAGCCTGGGGGCGGGAGACACTTTAAACTAAAGAAACTGTTTCGGGACACGCCTCCAGGCTTGGAAGCCTCCTTTTCCTTTAATCTACTTGACCTTTGCAGACTCTGTGATTCACTCCTGTTTTCCCAAATCTGCCTTCTTCTATCCTAATTAAAAAAGGCCGGTGCTAACTCCTCCCGTTCAGTTATCACCGCTTGGTTCTGAAACATCCTCATCAGGATGTTTAGTTTCACTTTCCCAGCCACTGCCCTCAGAATCAACAGTTTCCAAACCATCAGAGAAAAATACGTGTTCAGTAGCATCAGGAAATGCAATCAAAGAATCGGGGTCAGGTTCACATGGAGGCTGAATCCCCACATCCGATGACATGAGAAGCAATTATATGTAGATTCACAGAGTTGAAAGAGACCCCAAGGGCCACCCAGTCTAGGGATGCACCATCAAAGCACTCCTAACAGATGACCATTCTGCTTCTGCTTAAAATTCTCCAGGCTTTACATACCCCCCGGTGGCACAGTGGGTCAAACCACTGAGCTGCTGAACTTGCAGACCCAAAAGATTTCAGGTTCGAATCTGGGGAGCAGCATGAGTTAGCCCCAGCTTCTGTCAACCTAGCAGTTCGAAAATATGTGAATGTGAGTAGATCAATAGGTACTGCTCCGGCGAGAATGTAATGGTGTACTGTCGAAGGCTTTCATGGCCGGAATTACTGGGTTGTTGTAGGTTTTTTTGGGCTATATGGCCATGTTCTAGAGAACTCTAGACGTGGCCATATAGCCCGAAAAAACCTACAACACCCCAATGTAATGGTGCTTCATGCAATCATGCTGGCCACATGACCTTGGAGGTGTCTATGGACAACGCCGGCTCTTCAGCTTAGAAATGAGATGAGCACCAGTAATAATAATAATAATAATCATCATCATCATCTTTGTTTAATACTCTAGAACTAACTCTAGAACATGGCCATATAGCCCGAAAAAACCTACAACAACCCAATGTAACGGTGCTTCATGCAATCATGCTGGCCACATCATTTTGGAGGTGTCTATGGACAATGCCAGCTCTTCGGCTTAGAAATGAGATGAGCACCAGTAATAATAATAATAATCATCATCATCATCATCATCATCATCTTTGTTTAGTACCCTGCCACCATCTCCCCAATGGGGACTCGGGGTGGCTTACATGAGGCCAAGCCCAACAGCATATTACAATAAGGTAAAACCAAGACACAATAACAACACAGTAAAATGCATACAACATATGAGTACAAAGACAATAAAGCAAAATCATACACAGTAAAATAAAATAACATAACATAACAATGAGCATGTGCAAGATAAAAACTAAGATACTAAAAATACTAAAATCAGGATGAGATAGGGATTGAGCAGATGTCCCACCCTGGTCATTCCACAGATATATAAACCCATTTTCCTACTTCCAACAGACCTCACTACCTCTGAGGATGCTTGCCATAGATGCAGGCGAAACGTCAGGAGAAAATGCCTCTAGAATATGGCCATATAGCCCGGAAAAACCTACAACAACCCAGTGATTCCGGCCATGAAAGCCTTTGACAATACATTGAGCAGATTGTTTGTGGGGGAGAACCAACCTCCAGAGTCGGACACAACTGGACTTAATGTCAGGAGAAAACCTCTATCTTTAGTTTAACATACCCAGTTCCCAAAAATAATTCTCTTAGGGGTATGTTTTGAAGACCATTCCTCAAAAGCTGGAGATCCACAGGTTCCAATGTGTTAATAATAACACATTAAACGTTGTGATTAGAAGCCTCTATGGCCTGCACTGCTCTTCTGCTCTTTTATTATGAATTAATTGGAAAACTATTTTGAAGCAGTGATCAGTTAGTTCCAAAAATATCTTCTTTCTGATTATTAATTGACTGCACAAGAATCTGTCCCAAACAGCCATCCGTTTACATGATTTGAGGACTTTGTGCATTCCTCTATGATGCAATCTTTGCTTACACTTGCTTTCCTTGTGGTTTTTGAATCTCGCTGTGTTTAGACTGTGGACAGCGGCTCTACAACAAACAGTCCCGGATTGTCGGGGGGCTGAATGCCGACGTGGGCGAGTGGCCCTGGCAGGTCAGTTTGCACGTCAAGGGAGAAGGTCATGTCTGCGGAGCCTCTTTGATCTCAGAGAGATGGCTAGTGACGGCAGCACATTGCTTTCGGGAAGAAAATTACGTCAGGTAAGCAGAGATATAGGCTTTGGGTAGAAATAGCCTATCACTGTTACAGATACATTTGCTGGGAGAGTAGAAGATGGTCTTCTTGGTGGGTTACCAGGTTCTGGAACTGCCTTCACAAAGAGGTTGGAATGGTTCTAGGGTTGCCAAGTCTCCCTTATAAGGGATGTATCTTAGTTGAAGTCTGGAAAGCTTTTCTCTCATAGGACTGGCAGCCATCCCTTATAGCAGTGTTTCTCAACCTAGGGGTCGGGACACTGGGGGGTGGTCACAGAGGGGTCTTAGGAACCCCTTTGGCAGAGAAGGCAGAAGATCTCTCAGTCTTTTTCCTTTTTGGAAACAGACGGCAAATCCTCCCACCAAAAACCCTTCTCCATTGTGATTGACCGGCCTCTCAGCCAAGGAAAGGGCCAGCATCCTCACTACCTCTGAGGATGCTTGCCATAGATGCAGGTGAAACGTCAGGAGAGAACGCCTCTAGACCATGGCCATATAGCCCATATAGACCTATAGCTCAAGGTCAATGCCCACTAAACCTTTCTAGTGTTTCTGTTGGTCATGGGAGTTCTGTGTGCCATGTTTGGTTCAATTCCATCATTGGTGGAGTTCAGAATGCTCTTTGATTGTAGGTGAACTATAAATCCCAGTAACTACAACTCCCAAATGTCAAGGTCTATTTTCCCCAAACTCCATCTGTGTTCATATTTGGGCATATGGAATATTCGTGCCAATGATGATCCAGATCCATCATTGTTTGAGTCCACAGTGCTCTCTGGATGTAGGTGATCTACAACTCCCAAACTCAAGGTCAATGCCCACTAAACCCTTCTAGTGTTTCTGTTGGTCATGGGAGTCCTGTGTGCCACGTTTGGTTCAGTTCCATCATTGGTGGAGTTTAGAATGCTCTTTGATTGTAGGTGAACTAAAATTCCAGCGACTACAACTCTCAAATGACAAAATCAATTTTTTGAGTGATAGTCACTCCTTGGGTTAGTAAATGTCTTATGGCCAAATTTGGCGGCAATTCGTCGAATTGTTTTTGAGTTATGTTAATCCCACAAATGAACAATACATTTTTATTTATTCATGGCCTTATCCTCACAACAACACTTAGCACTTGCTTAAACCAAATGGGAGCTGAATCTGGAATACCCATGTTCCAGTTCTGTTCTCTAATCCCTCCCACACACTATCATATTGCTGTTTTTCTTGCTGTTATGCCCATGTAAACACCCTATCTTGATCCTCTTGCAGATATTTTGATCCTAAGCTATGGACTGCCTATATGGGGCTGCATGACCAGACGGACAGGACCAACAGCAAGGTTCAGATGCGAACTATCAAGAACATCATCCGCCACCCATTCTACAACGACTTTACCTTTGACTACGATGCTGCTCTAATGGAGCTGTCCAGCCCTGTCACCTACACCAAGGAGATCCAGCCCATATGTCTCCCTGATATCACTCACGAATTCCCTACCGGCAAAGCCATCTGGGTGACTGGATGGGGAGCCACGCAAGAAGATGGTGAGTCTGGCAAAGGGGCCATCCTGTGGAGTATAGGTGGAAGGATGAAGGAGCGGCATCATGTGTGACAGCATTTGGGCAGAAAGTGGAAACAACTTGAACTTAGGAGTGTGTCTGCACTATATCATCATAACACCCAGATACCAGTTTAAACAACATAGCTCCTTGCTTCAGAATCCTGGCATTTTTAATTTGATGAGCCGCTTGGTATTCTCTCTTGATGCTAGAGCTCTCGAGCTTTGGCCATCTAGGTGTTTGAGGCTTCAACTCCCAGAAGCTTTAGCCAGTGTGGTGAGGGGTTGATTCTCGGAGTTGATGTGCAAAACATCTGGAGAGCCGAAAGCTGCAAACTGCTGCTCAGGACTACTCCCTTAGCTACAGTATTTGTGCTTTCTAAACAGATGATTTGCAGCAACTCATCAAATTGAAAAGCCAGTGTTTCCCTATGACATAAGCCCGAAGGCGACTCTGGGCGGCATCCACAGTCGGCACAATTTGATGCCATAAAAATACATACATTGATAAGCAAAAAAGAGACATTGTAATTCATTTAAACATAAAGACAGTGCATAATAACAATTTAAGGAAAAAAACTATGTCCTCTCGTTCAAATCCTCATCCGTTCCATCCTGGGTCATTTTCCGATTCAAGTTTGTCTATTTATTCCAAGGTTCCAAATCCTTACTCGAAGAGCCAAGTTTTTACTCTTTTCCAAAAGGTCAGGAGGGAGGGGGCTGATCCCTAGGCAGGGGGTAACACAGCCGAGGAGCCACCACTGAGTAGGCCCTGTCTCTGGTCCCCGCCAGACATGCTTGCAAAGCAGGCAAGATCAAGAGCAGGGCCTCCTCGGACGATCTCAAGTTCCTGGAGGGTTCGTAGGAAGGGATGTGTTCGGATAGATAAACTGCGCCAGAACCGTTTAGGGCTTTATAGGCTAAACGGTAGCAAACTGGCAGTCAGTGGAGCTGATGCAGCAGAGGAGTTGTGTGCTCCCTGAGCGCTGCTCCTGTTAACAATCAGTTCCAGGTGCCAATTTTGATATGTTTTCCCCTCGCCCCAAAAGAATTTCTAATGGATAGTGTTTGCCTTTTTTTTGTAAAAGATAATTTGTATTGCATTTATATTCATTTTATTACAAAAAACGCCTCTACAGTTCATATAATTACTTCTCCTTTCCCCCGTTGTGCTACCCCTTGTGCTCTCCATCTCCGGAGTTTCTTGATGCTCCCACCAAAACCTCATTTCTTCTGGTGGGGATTGGTTCCCATCTTCTTTCCTTAATGTTTCCTCAATAAATATTTTCCATATATTTTCAAAATCATTATCCTTTCTTAGGCCTTTTTTAACCTTTAGATTGCATGTTAATTTATCATTTATTGCTAATTTCCAAATGTCCTTGTACCATTCTTCTATCTTAATTTCCACTTCTCCCTTCCAATATTTTGCTATTAGTAGTCTTGCAGCCGTTAACAACAATGTTATCAAATTCTTTTCATTTTCCTTCCATGCATCTGTATTATAAATAGATAACAGTATAGTCGCTGGATTTATACTAATTTTTTTTGTATTGTCGAAGGCTTTCATGGCCGGAATCACTGGGCTGTTGTAGTTTTTTCGGACTATATGGCCATGTTCTAGAAGCATTTCTCCTGACTTTTTGCCTGCATCTATGGCAAGCATCCTCAGAGGTAGTGAGGTCTGTTGGAACTAGGAAAAAGGGTTTATATATCTGTGGATATATAATGTGTAATGTCCCACCCTGGTCATTCCACAGATATATAAACCCATTTTCCTAGTTCCAACAGACCTCACTACCTCTGAGGATGCTTGCCATAGATGCAGGCGAAACGTCAGGAGAAATGCCTCTAGAACATGGCCACATAGCCCAAAAAAACCTACAACAACCCACTAATTTTTTTCTTCATAATACTTTCTATTTCTTCTATAACTTTTCCCCAGAACCTCTGTACGTATTTGCATTGCCATCACATGTGGATATATGTAGTGTTTACATTTCTGAGTCTCCTTGTGGAGAGAAAAAGCGTGGTATAAATAAACAATAACAACAACAATAAAGCAGTGGCAGTTCCTGCTCACCATTCCTGTGATTCTTGGCAGGTATGGGAGCCACCATTTTGCAGAAGGCAGAAATCCGGGTGATCAACCAAACCATGTGCAATACACTGCTGCCCAATCAGATCACGCCACGCATGATGTGCGTTGGGATCCTGTCGGGAGGAGTTGATGCCTGCCAGGTAAGACTTTTTTCAATGTATATAGCAGAGTGTGGCAGGGGGAACTTTTCAGCTCAACACTGAATTGTCTTCATCCTGGGAACCCCAGACTATTTTTTTTAATTATGCTTTTTATTAAGAAATTTTGCAGAAAGTAAAACTGATGTTTGAAAAAACATACAATGAAAGTGGTGGAACAATTGAAGATGAAAGAAAGTTTGAAACTTGATAGAAGAAGAAAAAAGTAGTGAAAGAATACAAAAAAGGGGGGAGGGGAGTGGGAAGGTAAAACAAGAGAGTTTTCCCTGTAAGTTGCTTCCAGGTTCTGTTTGCCAAGTTTGTAATTATATGTCTGAATTTTTTTATTTTTTTATTTCTTGTTCATATGGCGTTGTTTTCTTATTATCCTTTCTATCCTTTAAGTTTCTTTTAATTTTCCTTATATATAAAGTCCTCTGTATTTATTTCTTAGAAATTCCATAAACTTTCCCCAATCCGTTTCCTGGTGGTGGGTGTTGTTCTGAGCAAGTTTTTGGGTGAGAAGGTCCATATTCATGATGTCCATCACTTTCAGAATCCAATTTTCTTTAGTGGGTATTCTTGGTGTTTTCCATAATTGTGCCAGGGTTATTCGGGCTGCGGTTATTAGATGAAAAAAAAATCCTGTTTGTGTTTTTGTTCATCTCAAAATCTGTGATTCCTAATAAAAAATACTCGGGCTTAAAGTTAAATCTTAAATTCAGAATGTTTTCTATTTCTTTGTAAATTTGATGCCAGTACTTTTTAACTTGTTTTGCATCTCCACCACATATGACTAAAGTCTCCCTTATGTTTCTCACATTTCCAACATTTCCCGTCACTTTTTCCCCCTTTGAATTTTGCCAATTTTTCTGGGGTCAAGTACCATCTATAAAATAGCTTAAACCAATTCTCTTTAAGTTCTGTTGAATGTGTATATTTAATTTTCTTCCTACAATTTTTCCCCCATTCTATAATTTTTATTGGTTGACCTATCTCCTTTGCCCATTTTATCATTACTTCCTTGACTTGTTCTTCTTTGGTTTCTGGGAACCCTAGACTAGAATGCAAGGAGACCCTTCCTTCTTCCTTCCCTCCCTCCCTCCCTCCCTTGAAATAGCATCTGGTGAAAAGGTTGCAATTGGCTATATGTTAACTCATCCCTTTTCTCCTTCCAGGGAGATTCTGGTGGACCCCTGACCAGCGTAGAGTCCAACGACAGGATGTTTCTGGCCGGCATAGTCAGCTTTGGGACTGGCTGCGCCCGACGGAACAAACCAGGAATTTATACTCGAGTCTCCAAGATCAAAAACTGGATCAAAGAAACAACAGGCGTGTAGGGTTGTCATCAACATCGAGACGCGTCACATACCTCTGCTTTTTCTTCTTTCTTTTTTTTTAAAAAAAATCTTGGTTCTGTCAAGTTGACAATTTGAGGACATCCCCTTGTGATGTGAAAGGAGCTCTGCGTATCTTGTTCACCTGATTATCACCTCCTCCTCATTCATTTTAGTATAAAAGCCTTTTAAAGAAAAACAAGAAAAACGACATGTCTGGATGAACTAGACAAGGTCCTTCGGGTGTGCAGTTGCCAGCTTTTAAAAACTAATGGTTTCCACTTGCCTGGTTTTCAGAGACTAACTGATTTTTTAAAAATCTGAGCCAATTTCCAGGTGGGTTTGAAATCTACAAGGAATAAAGAAGACAGGACAAGAGGGTCCCTGCTTATACCCTACTTCTTTGCTGGCTTCACGAGGCAAACTCACAACTCATTTGATGGCTCCTTGGAATATGAAAATGGACACTAATGCCTTTCCTTCAGTGCCTACTGTGTTCAGCTGTCTGAAAATCAAAGTGTGGGTTTTTGGAGAATGGATGGAATGAAGTGCGACATTATGATTAATCAGGGACCTGTTCTTTTTATACCTTCTTTCCTGTGAATTTTCCAAAATGGCATGTAGAAAGGAAGAGTTGTCTAATTTCCATTTCCTCACTGAATATTACAGGGAAGTGGTTTATCAGAATCCTTCACTGGATGAGACATATTTTAATCTTGGCCTATCTATAAGGAGAGATGCCAATATTTAGGGTGGCTTTTGTGGGCCTGTCTATTGCGATTAGGACTTACATGAATCCTACCACCCAGACCTCCAAATATATTTTGATTAGTAGGTGCACAGAAATAGCTTCAGTCAAAAGAGTGTAAATTAATTCACTCTTTCCTTTGCTCTGGTTCCTTGGGATGTGTAGTTTGGACAGGTACTAAGAATGTTCTGTTAGAGAGTTTGCATGCTGCAGTTGAAGGAGATATACTGAACTCCCCTCGTAGGCCATGCCAAATAGCTCAGCAACCTGCAAATCTCGAAGTTCTCCAACTTGCTAAAACACTCCTAGTTTCCAAAAATGTCTTTACTCATCCGTGTTGGTGTCCCTTTCCAAAGCAACCTGGAAGACAACTGCTATCCTTATAAACCCTTTAGCAAGAACCTCTACCTTTTATGTTGTCTGTGACCCAAATGTCCTCTGCTAAGCACCCTCTGAATGTATTTGACTGGAAGGCCCATCATCTTCAGCTGGCAGGACCATCTTGAGTAAATGGTGTAAACTCCAGAAGAAGGCCCTTTGGATGAAAACCTTGAACCAAAGATGCCTCATGTGCCTTATGGCTTATTTAATTGTATGGCAATTTAAATGTATGTGCTCCTCTGGGTTTCAGGTGCTCTGAAAGCCCCCCCAGTTTAAGATAGCTGATCAAACTCTTATGCAAAAAGTTCAGGTTGGCTGGAGAAAAGGGAAGGCATCAAATAAGGTCTTGGTATTCACGCATTTCTGACTCAATTGATTGTTTTTGCCCTCCCAGAACTATGACCGTATCCTCTTAATCTCGGCTCCTGAGGTTTGGGACATGACTGCCAGCAGCCCCTGACAGAATGGGATTTGCAGTCCAAACGTCTGAAGAGCTCAAATGTGTCCGCTCTTGCTTTAGTAGACTTAAATCCAAATGTCTGAAGAGCTCAAATGTGTCTGCTCTTGCTTTAGTAGACTTAAATCCTGAATATCTCCTTGAGCAAGCAATATTTGGAGTGTTGCAGGTTTTTTCGGGCTACATGTTCTAGAGGCATTCTCTCCTGACATTTCGCCTGCATCTATGGCAAGCATCCCCAGAAGTAGTGAGGATGCTTGCCATAGATGCAGGTGGAATGTCAGGAGAGAATGCCTCTAGAACATGGCCATATAGCCCGAAAAAAACCTACAACAACCCAGTGATTCCGGCCATGAAGCCCTTTGACAATACAATATTTGGAGTTGCAATGGCCGACCGCTTTGCTGACTTGTTGAAGCTTTTCTGAGCTTGTTTAGAGTGAAATGGTGCAGGTTGCAACTGATTTCCCAAGATTTCCCAGCAGGAGCTGGATGGCTCCAAGTTGCATATAGGAAGATATAGAAATAACAATGAGATACTGGCTGCACTTTTAATTCATCCCGCTGCTCCCTTTTATCTCTCCTTGAAATGGAATGGATATAAGTAGAGTAGGTGTGAACGTATGTATATGTGATGTGTGTACGTATATATGTGTGTTATGTACAAATACATTGATTTCTGTCCCTTTGTGGGTCAGATTGGCATTGCCACAATGTGCCTTACGCGTTGGATCTTGTTTAATGTAGGGGAATGTGTCGTGTATTGTTCTTTTGTATCTGACTTGGTTCTTTCATGAACGTCGATATTATACTGTGAGGCTGCCTTCCCAACTTAGCATTCTACTAAGTACTACATCTCCCATCATCCTCATGCTTATGGGATCACTAGCACATCTGAAGGATGTTGTTTTGGGAAAGGTGGCTAAAAGGGAGAGCTTTGTTGTGCGGTGTAGAATATCTGTACCACTAGAAAAGCTATTTATTGTCGAAGTTTCTCACCGTAATACAACTTTTTGCACCTTCTGTATGGAAAACGAAAGAGGTGTGATGATATTTCTTTGATACATATGCTAAAGTGTGCTTGATTTCGGGCAGGAAAATAATGAGATATGTACAGAGAAAGAAAAACTATTTCAGGATGCCTTAACAGTTATTCTGTTGTGTCTCATGATGATTTATTCTCTCTCTCTTTTTGCAATGTTTACTTTTCCATAAGCATGAAATGCGCTTTCTACAAATCTTTGCAGTCATACTTGGCTATAGTGTTGGTCTATGTCAGGCATGGGCAAACTTGGGCCCTCCAGGTGTTTTGGACTTCAACTCCCACCATTCCTAACAGCCTACCGGCTGTTAGGAATGGTGGGAGTTGAAGTCCAAAACACCTGGAGGGCCCAAGTTTGCCCATGCCTTGTCTATGTAGTCGATCTGAGAAAATGAAGCCAAATTGAAAAGGAGTGCTATGCAAAATGCTTGTCCATATTTGTGTGCTTTTAAGTATATGTAATGATTTTTAGGAAGGCTTCAGTGTGGTCTGCATTGGTCACCAATGCAGCCACAAGAATGCACAGATCCCTCCCGTAATGTATCTGTTTTGTTTTAAATATGTGTGGCAAGATTGTTTCAGCTGGGTTGAACTGATTTGATTTCCTACTATGTATGTATATACTGTATCTTTTTTTTAAAAAAAAAATGTAAATAATCTGGATCAATGGAAATGGAGCCAGCCTTGATTTCACCCCATTCCCCCKCTTTTTAAAAATGTTGAATGYTATTYAGATGTTTGGTGATTATCCTCCCCGCCCTTCTRGTATTAAACTTGGATTTTTATAATTCATTTTGGGACTCAMTTMATAATGGGAGAAYGSYATGAAYCATTTGGATGGGGGGAATATGGCKTGAGTCGAATKATAGAATCRTAGAMTTYGAAGAGARCTCYTGGGCCATSCAGTCCAACCCTCTGTCAAGAAGCAGGAAAATCGCATTCAAAGCACCCCRGACAGATGGCCATCCAGCCTCTGTTTAAACACCTCCAAAGAAGGAGCCTCCACCACACRCTGGGGCAGAGAGRTCCACTGCTYAACGGCTCTCACAGTCAGGAAGTWCTTCCAAATGTTCAGATGGAATCTCCTTTCTTGTAGTTTGAAGCCATTGTTCCATTGCGTCCCAGTATCCAGGGCAGCAGAAAACACACTTGCTCCCTCCTACCTATCACTTTCTCTCACATATTTATGCATGGCTATCATGTCTCCTCTCAGCCTTCTCTTCTTCAGGCTTAATATTCCCAGCTCTTTAAGCCGCTCCTCATAGGGCTTGTTCTCCAGAGCGTTTATCATTTTAGTTGCCCTCCTCTGGACACATTCCAGCTTGTCAACATCTCCCTTCAATTGTGGTGCCCAGAATCGGACACAGTATTCCAAATGTGGTTTAACCAAGGCAGAGTAGAGGGGGAGCATGACTTCCCTGGAGGGAAGTCATGCTACCATCCAAAGAAGGAGACTTCACTACACTCCAAAGCAGAGAGTTCCACTGCTAAACAGCTCCCACAGTTAGGAAGTTCTTATTTATGTATGTATTTATTTATTTACAGTATTTATATTTCTCCCTTCTCACTCCAAAGGGGACTCAAGGTGGATCACAATACACGGCAAACATTAAATGCAGTTTTTAAACATACAAGGCATACAGACAGATAGAGATCATTTAGCAGTTTTTCCAACTTCGGATCCTGGAGGTTGCTCGATTCTGGCCACAGGGGGAGCTGTCGCTTCATCCACTATGACGCCGAGCCTTTTGATCGTAGTATTTCCTCCTTGCTCTTTGATCTCCGGCATTTTTATGTCATACATTAACCTCCCCGCTTTAAGCAGTCCCTAATTTCCCTACTCACAGCACAGCTGTTTTCAAACTGCTTAGGTGGACAGTAAGCTGGGCTATTAACAGTCAGGAGCTCGACCCTGACTTGGGCTTTGAACTTGCCACCTTCTGGTTGGCAGTGATTTATTGCTGCTAGTGATTAACCTGCTGTGTGGCAGCCCAGCCCTCATGTTCAGCTGGAATCTCCTTTCCTTTAGTTTGTTTTGCGTCCTAGTCTCCAGGGCAGCCTTCTCGGCTGTGGCCCCCCGCCTGTGGAACTCACTTCCCACTGAGGTAAGATTGGCTCCATCCCTCCTGTCATTTAGGAAGAAATTGAAGTCGTGGTTTTGGGACCAGGCTTTTGGACAACAGACATAGATAGCACTTTGGACATGGAATTGGATATGGAATTGACTGGAATTATGATATGGCTATTAATACTGTTTTTTTTTACTGTTTTAATGTTTTACTGATTTTTTAAAATTGTTATTAAATTACTTTTATATGTAGTGGCATCAAATTGCTGCCAAATGTAAGCTGTCCTGAGTCCCCCTTCGGGGGTTGAGAAGGAACGGGATAGAATTACCGGAAATAAAATAAATAATAAATAAACAATGTGATGGCCTCCATGGCAGAAAGTTAAAATGGAGAGACGATGGAGATAACACTACATGGAATGAAGTCTTTAGTTACTGGTGAAGGTATGATGGAGAATGCAGATGAGTCCATGTCTTGTAGGCCCGTAACTCTTAACATCAGCATTTTTCCTTTATGATTTTCAACATCTCTGCTTGAGTTGATGGTGAATCCAGTGGAACTTGAGAAGTTTGGGTGGTGTATTTGGTTCATTTTGCAGTGGCCCGATAAAGACCACTGTTTTGTAGTCTTGGGAAGTCAAACAAAATATGGAGTTTTCCTCCCAGCAGATGGCACTGCAATTCCATAAAGTTCTAAAACAGTCAAAATCTTGCACAAAGAAGATGCAAATTTCATTTTCTTCATTGGGCATACAATGAATTGTCAGGTCTGCTTCTATATCCACACATCAAGACCAAAGTTAGTCAAGTTCTTGAGGCATTGGCTACCACCCCTTGGTTAGTTTCAGAAAGAAACAATTGTACCCAAATTTTAGTGCCAGTTCCCAACACTAGGAAGCTGAAGCTAAAACCCGTTGTTGGTGTGGACTTCAAAATCAATGATAATGCAGGCTGGACAATTAGGAAGTAGTTCTTAACACATTTCTTTTGTACCAAAATACCAAAGGGAAGCATAGATTTCAGTTAATCTAGCCATATTCCCAAATTACATGATGCACACATTCCTGTATTTATGGAGGCCCACATCCCAAATAGAGCCAACCCTTCTTCTCCATGGATTCTATATCCATGGATCCAACCACCCATTGCTTGAAAATATCTATATTTTCAATTCCAAAATGTAAACTTTGATTTTGCCATTTTATACAAGGGACATTATTTTATTACATAATTATGTATAATGGGAGACTTGAATGTCCAAAGAGCCTGGCATCCATAGGGGGTTCTGTAACCAAACCCCAGCAGATACAAAGGGCCCACTGTATATGATTCTGTGGGTAGCATCTTGTTCTGTCTATCCAAAAAGAAGAGCTTTCCAACTTTCAAACAGGAGACATTACTCATAATAAGGGTCATTTCCCAATGCAATCTTTGGAGAATAATAGTAATACTTTATTTATATCCTGCCACCATCTCCCCAAGGGGACTCGGGGCAGCTTACATGAGGCCAAGCCCAGCAGTACAACAATGCAAATGTACAACATAAGAATACAACAATAAAATATAAAAATAAAATAAAATACAAGAAACATTATAAATAAACACATCAGACAGGGATGGTAGAGAAGTATCCACCTATGTTCTGATAACTGTGTGCCTAATAATGATGGCATCTCCCAGGACCTCCCAAAGATTGTTGTTGTTGTTTATTTGTTCAGTCGCTTCTGACTCTTCGTGACCTCCTGGACCAGCCCATGCCAGAGCTCCCTGTCAGCCGTCACCACCCCTAGCTCCTTCAGAGTTAAGCCAGTCACTTCATGGACTGGCTTCCATCCACCCACCCATCTTGCCCTTGGTCAGCCCCTCTTCCTACAGGGAAAACCAGCTGATCCCCAACCCATCCAAAACACAGACATGTGCCTTTCATCTCAAGAACAGACAAGCATCCCGAGCTCTGAGGATCACCTGGGAAGGAATCCCACTGGAGCATTGCAGCGCACCCAAATACCTGGGAGTCACTCTGGACCGTGCTCTGACCTACAAGAAGCACTGCCTGAACATCAAGCAAAAGTGGGTGCTAGAAACAATATCATACGAAAGCTGACTGGCACAACCTGGGGATCACAACCAGACACAGTGAAGACATCTGCCCTTGCGCTATGCTACTCTGCTGCTGAGTACGCATGCCCAGTGTGGAACACATCTCACCACATTAAACAGTGGATGTGGCTCTTAATGGGTGACTTGGAAGGTGCTGAACAGAGATGCAGAGCCAACCTCAAGAAATGGGGCCACAAAGTGGAATCCACGACATGCAAGTGTGGAGAGGAGCAAACCACTTACCACCAGCTGCGATGCAACCTCTTGCGGCAACACCAGAGGCACTCCAAGTGGCCAGCTACTGGTCAAAGGACATTTAATCAACTACCAAACTCGCAAATTTTGTATTTTGTCTGTTTGTTTGTTTGTTTTGTTCTGTTAGAAATGTAATACAATTGACTGGTTGCCCTGACACGACAAAAAATAAAAGCCCCTCTTCCAAATGACCAAATTGCCAATATCTGTATGCTGGATAAAGGAGAAAGGCAGGGAGTTTCAGAAAAAACGTCTACTTCTGTTTTATTGACTATTCTACAGCCTTTGACTGTGTGGATCATAATAAATTGTGGCAAGTTCTTGGTGGTATGAGGAGGCCAAGCCACCTTGTCTGTCTCCTGAGGAATCTATATAATAATCAAGTAGCAACAGTAAGAACTGACCATGGAACAACAGACTGGTTCAAGATTGGGAAAGGCGTACGGCAGGGTTGTATACTCTCATCCAAACATTCTGTAGTGGAATGAAAGGATGGCACCACCGATCACCCAATTATCTCAACATAGTTGGAAGCTTTTTGACTACCCTCCAGTCATTAAATGGCCATCAGATGCAGGAAGAGAACAATGAAATAAGCAGTTGAGTCATTGTAGAAAGAGGTAGAAAATACTCCCTTCCGCAATGTTTGATGTGTCACAAACAGAGTGATACACTTTGATTTCAACAACACTATTTAGCTGCTTTGGTATTATTCTTGAAAGGATTCTCTAGGCAACCTGTTAGGGCTCAAAGCTTACTTTGTGCCACACCAGGAGTTTGGCCCGTG